CTTCTCCAGAGATTCTCTCGACCTAGCCGTTCACATATGATCCTCACAGCGGGGGACTTTCCCTGTCAGAGGGGAGGGGGATCGGGGGATTTCCTGAGGCAAGACGCGACGTAAATAAACAACGTGGAAGTAGGGGCCGTAACAACAGAGTCCGCTACACGACGTTAATAATGAGAATATTTGCCTTTATATCAATGCTATGTGTAATCTAATGGAATGACACTATCCACAAAAGAGTGGAGAACAACATACTGACCAACAGGAAACAGAATGCAGCCATTTAATTACGTGTACGGAGATCGTAGTGGTCGCGTGCAGACACTTTAGCCGGTCACTATATAAATGTCATTCTCTTTCTATTGGCTGAAATTGAAAATCTCCGGAGTATATGCTGCCGCGTTCAGACATCAGCTCACTCGGATTTTCTGCGGATAAAACACTAGGAGTCTGGCCGGAGAAACTCCAGGTAAAGTCCGCGTGAAAAATGTGGCTGTTTGCGTTCACACATAGCCTAAAGAACCTCAGGGTAGCTAAATCCCCAGAGTTTTTCAGGAGATGTCCGTCTGTGTGAAAAGGGTTTGTATGTTGGCACTTCAACACATCTAACTACAGCTATAAGCGGTCTTCTGATAATACGGCAAACAGCAAAAAAGCGTGATGATTATTTTGACAATTTTGATAGGGATGTGCACTGTTAGCTAACATAATTATTTACCATGGTGTCCCTTGCTAGTCAGCACCAGAATAACTAGTCGGTTTAACTAATTATCAAATGCAATTTAACTGGTTATAAATATCAATTATAAAGGTTGTGTCTAAGCTGTAATGCAGCCACCCACCAAGGTGGGGGTGTAGCTCTGGTGGGGCCTAGCCTCCAGCTCCACTTTCTTCTGCTACTGATGTAAAACAATTTACTCACCAGTCAAATAGAGTTTAATTTGAGTTCCTTTGTGTTACACTGGCAGTTCTTATACAAGCAGAGTGTGCTATATGGATTACAACAAGCAAGTGGTGATACTGTATATGCGCATATACTTTCCAGTTGAATGACCACATTGTCTTCATTATACAATGTGTGTATAATCTACAAGTGTTTGAAAACTGCATTTGAGGGATCAACGCAATTAATGTTTGTATATCTATGCCTATCTATCTGTAGATCTAAGAAAGATATTAGGGCTGGAAATCTTTGTGTTTCTGACGATTTGATATCTATTCCTGGGTTAAAGAGCTAGCCTTAGCACTTAGCATGGAGTGAATGGCTGATTAGCCCCCTCAAAAAAGAAGGATTTTTGGAAGTTATGAATCTATTTAAACATCAATGATTAACTTGTTCTACAGCCATTATCGGACAGGGTTTAGTGTTCATTTAAAAAAAAAAAAGAACTGCAAGTTGCTCTTAAATTCCAGTGTAAGGTCTACAAAGGTAAATTTCATTCAGTGTAAATGATGTCACAACAATATATAATGCTAGATATAATGAAGATATCTCGCCGTAAGTTGTTGTACTGTTCATGTTGTTACATTTCATTAGCAGTGAATTCACTGCAAAGTAGTTTGGCTTTTACTGTCAACTTTCACGCTCCCTAGTTATTTCTTTAAAAAATGATTTGACTCTGCCATTGCCAGTGCTTTCTACTCCATCCAATTCAATGTCTTTAAAAGGCTTTCTCCGCTTCAATGCAACACACAGTGGGTACGGAAAGTATTCAGACCCCTTTACATTTTTCACTCTTTGTTTCATTGCAGCCATTTGCTAAAATCAAAAAAGTTCATTTTATTTCTCATTAATGTACACTCAGCACCCCATCTTGACAGAAAAAAATGAACAGATGACAGAAATGTAGAAATTTTTGCAAATTTATTAAAAAAGAAAAACTGAACTATCACATGGTCATAAGTATTCAGACCCTTTGCTGTGACACTCATATTTAACTCACATGCTGTCCATTTCTTCTGATCCTCCTTGAGATGGTTCTGCTCCTTCATTGGAGTCCAGTTGTGTTTAATTAAACTGATTGGACTTGATTAGGAAAGGCACACACCTGTCTATATAAGACCTTACAGCTCACAGTGCATGTCAGAGGTCGAAGGAACTGCCCAAGGAGCTCAGAGACAGAATTGTGGCAAGGCACAGATCTGGCCAAGGTTACAAAAGAATTTCTGCAGCACTCAAGATTCCTAAGAGCACAGTGGCCTCCATAATCCTTAAATGGAAGAAGTTTGGGACAACCAGAACTCTTCCTAGACCTGGCCGTCCAGCCAAACTGAGCAATCGTGGGAGAAGAGCCTTGGTGAGAGAGGTAAAGAAGAACCCAAAGATCACTGTGGCTGAGCTCCAGAGATGCAGTAGGGAGATGGGAGAAAGTTCCACAAAGTCAACTATCACTGCAGCCCTCCACCAGTCGGGGCTTTATGGCAGCGTGGCCCGACGGAAGCCTCTCCTCAGTGCAAGACATATGAAAGCCTGCATAGAGTTTGCCAAAAAAACACATGAAGGACTCCCAGACTATGAGAAAGAAGATTCTCTGGTCTGATGAGACCAAGATTGAACTTTTTGGCTTTAATTCTAAGCGGTATGTGTGGAGAAAACCAGGCACTGCTCATCACCTGCCCAATACAATCCCAACAGTGAAACATGGTGGTGGCAGCATCATGCTATGCGGGTGTGTTTCAGCTGCAGGGACAGGACGACTGGTTGCAATTGAAGGAAAGATGAATGCGGCCAAGTACAGAGATATCCTGGAAGAAAACCTCTTCCAGAGTGCTCAGGACCTCAGACTGGGCCGAAGGTTCACCTTCCAACAAGACAATGACCCTAAGCACACAGCTAAAATAACAAAGGAGTGGCTTCGGAACAACTCTGTGACCATTCTTGACTGGCCCAGCCAGAGCCCTGACCTAAACCCAATTGAGCATCTCTGGAGAGACCTGAAAATGGCTGTCCACCAACGTTCATCATCCAACCTGACAGAACTGGAGAGGATCTGCAAGGAAGCGTGCGTACATCAGTACTGATGGACTCTTGGCATAGTAGCCTCTTACATCTGTGCGTAAATGTTTGTGAGAGAGGGAGAAAGTAACATAAAATGCTTTGATTGGTAAGGACTAGAAAAGCAATATCTAACTGCATTCAATTTATGATGTACCATTAATCTGGATACAGTCAAGGGAAAATGACTCATAAACATCAAAACAGTTAGCTGAATGACAACAAGAGGGTTGAGAAAATGACTTTATATTGTATTCACATGAATTGGGTAAGCCAGCAGTCAAATACTGTCATTGGAGGACTTGACTTTAAGTGGGGTACTGAATTCATTTTACCTTAATTTGTATTTAGCTTTAAATCCTGTATCTTTTTATGTATTTTTTCTGCTGTTTCATTTGCCTTCCTTTTATTTCCCTGTATATTTTATGAAGCACTTTGTAACCATGTTAAGAAAAGTGCTTTATAAATAAGGCTTATTATTATTTAGTGGTGTAATTTATTATTATATTACTTTCACCGTAAGAGTAGTTTTATTACTACCACTCCTGAAATAGCCTACATTTAAGCACAGAAGAGCTACAGATATAACCTATCAAATAAATAGAAGCCTTATGCTTCAAAGACCGAGTCTCTCACTGCTTTGTTTGGTCAGGCTATCGTTAGCTTGTTGTCGCGATGGCTCCTCATCTCTCTGTTGCTCCTATTCACTGACGCACACATACAGACACACACAGAGAGACACACAAACAGACAGACACACACAGAGAGACACACAAACAGACAGACACACACAGACATAGACACACACACACAGACGCGCACATAGACACAAACTGACGCACACACAGACACAAACATACACAGAGACACAGACACACACAGACACAAACAGACACACACATAGACACAAACATACACAGAGACACAAACAAACACACATACACACACACATAGACACAAACAGACAGACACACACACACACACACACACACAGAGACACAAACACACACATAGACACACAGTTGCTCCTTCTGTTCCGGCTGCTGTACTCACACATCTCTCCTTGCTCCTGCTCGTATTTTGACGGACTAAGACTCACAGTGGTTGATATCATGGATTTTGAATGTTTGACAGCACACCATTACTGCTTAAATAGCATCTAGTCTCGTAACCTAAAAAAACCCAAATGTTTCATCAGAGGTTTTATATTCCATTATCTATTTTTAGCTTGCCATTGTATTGCTTTGTCAGAAAAAATGGTAGCTGATTAACCTTTCTCCTCACATTATTTATAGTTAATCATTGAATTATAAACATCATTGTAATACATGAAATTAAAGTTTATTCAAACAGCACATGACCACAGATTAACTGTTAACTGTAATTATTGATTGATATCAATTTAATCCATTTTTACAGCCCTACCGTCCACCCCTGTTATGCCTGTGTTACTACCTCAAATGCTGGCAGCTGAACAACATTGTCCCACCATTCTGGCTCTGTGGCATTTACATTGATGGCAAGGTGTGAAAGGGGCAATAAAATCCCATAACCATAAAATGTTTAACCTGTGTAAAAAATTGTGGAAAATTTTTTATGTCTGATTGTTGTCACATGTTTTTCAGTTGTGTTCTGTTTGATAATCGTTAATAAAAAGTGGAGTGTAATAGATGATATCAAATTATATTTTATTCTTTTCATTAGTTAAAAGAATTAAGGAGGGTTGTGTTCAACTGCAATGAATTGCCTATTTTGTATTGCTTTTACATTATGGTTATATTTTAGCCCTAAAAACTATACTTTAACCAGTGACCACCAACATTTAGGGTCTTCTCTGATTGGCAATCTCAGAGGTCCTCGAATGGAAGTTCTGTGCAAACCTTTATTTTCCCTGCAGTTCTTTAAGTAGGAAAATCAAGTCTTCTGTTTTTTTTTTTTTTACAAAATGCAAGTCGAAACTTGGGCTGCAATCGAAAATCGAGTTTGCAATGTGTTCTCTGTCTTTTAGGTATTAGAGTTTTGGTGGATGCCCGAGAAAAGCTACACATCCCATGGGGCAACCCATCCAACCAGCGGCATGGGGACACCATGATGGCGTTCGACACCCGGTCAGCAATGGCTCATGGCCATGGCATGGTGGAGCAAAAAGTTTTCCAGCATTACCTGCCATCCATTCGGGCCCTGTGGGCTGACGAAGGCATCCAGAATGCCTACGACCGCCGCCGAGAGTTCCAGTTGGTGAGTCTGTGTTTATTTAGTCCATGCAAGCAGATTGGAAATCCAAATGTCATCATTTAATATATGATACCGTCTTTGGTGCTTTATGTTTAAAGGGACAAGTGGGTCTGTGTGCTGTGTGTCGGTGTATCAAAAGACAAGTCAAGCATAGAATATTGTTCTGCGTTAGGAATGTGCAAGAAAATATTTTTGATACCCTTTGTCCTATTAGAGATATGGAAGATATACAATAACTGCTGTCATCTGCTGTTACTCGTAGTTTTCAAAACCCATTTTATAATAAAAACACTAAACACATATTCAAAATAAAAAAATTAACATCTCTCTTCTCTTCTCTCTCTTTCCCTCTTATGTCCCAATATCACATTTTATACTTTTTTTAGTGAGATAAATGATTTTCAGCTCTACCTGTTAAGAATAAAAATCTTACTGACACAGGAATCACCTTTAACAATTTCAACTCCAAGGATTTTTATGTTGACCCAAATTCAAAGCAACTTTAAGGGAACATTGGTAGCACGTTGTTGATCAGTGAATGTGTCAGGATTCTGGTGGAGTGATTATATCAGGCTCTTAATTTATTTATTTTCTGTGTCCAAAGATCAGATATGAGTTTATATGAATGCTCAAAATGCGTGTGACACCAGTTGGTAGTTGTCTTCCCTCAATCGGAGAGGAGAAAAGCACTATACAAGCTCAAGTTCATTTACCATTTAACATCATGTACATGTACTGATTAATGTAGTTTAAAATACAAAGAACTTTAAAGTAATGCAGATGTGACTTGGACTGTTAAAATAGTAGGACATGTCAATGTCATCTAAAAACAGAAGTTGAACTGACTGTAGTCATGTATTGTTCCCCTGTGTGACAGGCTGTTAGATCTATCTTTAAAGTGTTAGGATCCTTTATTGAGATCGTCTTATCACCCTTTGTTGTGGCAGATTACCATTTTCCTCCAACATTCTTAAGATTTCCCATCAACCTGTATTTAATGTCTGCCCTGTTTAGCTTAGTTTGAAATCTGTGATGCTAACTTTAGTTTTACCATTCACTCACTGTGACTGTTGAATGTCCAGTGAGTAGCTTGAGTAGGCTTAGAGTGTACAGAGAGGAGCATTGACTTTAACAAATAAAGGCTCCTCCTCACAGCTGATGAAGCTGAGATGCAGCTGCTGAATGCACACAGACGGATACAGACAAGCTAATGTTGGCCTGCTTTTTTTTTGCTTTCTGTTCATCTGCCTCCCAACACCCGCCCATCCTGCATCTCTCACTCACTGTTCTCAACAAGTTTAGATTCCACAGTGTCTTGTTCATAGGAAAATATTAAGTAACATTAACTGTCTTATAAATCCGCCTTTATCGTTTAGCTATTAGGCATATAGTTAATGTCCGTAAGCCTTTTCTTTCACAGTGCGCTGACATAGCATAGCTTTTAATGTTATTTGTGTGAATGCAGTGACAACAACATGTTCTTCTACAAATGTTTTTTTGAAGCTTTCCCTACTTTCTTTCCATGTTATTTATGTATGCTGCCTTCATTAGAAAGGACAATGGATTGTGACAGTACATACAGGGAGGATAGAGGGCTGTGACATGCAGCAAAGGGCAGAGAGCCAAGTTGACCATGTTGATCTATTTAGATTTTTTTAGAGAACCGGCAGTGGGACAAGAGGTGCATTAAATCACAAAACTTACAGTTCTGCTTGTTTCAGGTGTTGAGTCAAAAACATAATTTTTAGGATCACACAACAATTACAAACTCATTAACTTCACGCCCAGGTTCTGTCCAGGTTCAATATGTATGTTTTGAAGGGTAGTATTGAGTAAGTTTGGATGCTGTGATTGCAGAGAAAAACAAACACATGGCTACATTTATCTTGGGTTCTGTGTTGATTCAACCCAGGAGTAACAAAACAACCTTGGTTCGGTTAGCATCAGAGTGTGAGTGTTTGTGTAAATAAGCCGGGGAGAGAGCTTCTGCGAAGAGCTTTGTCTGTTAATGTAGAAAAATCCCACATATGTGCCGATCATTATCTTTCTGTCTGTCTATTTCACTCTCTTATTCTCTCTTTCTCAGGGGGAGTCGGTCAAGTATTTCCTGGACAATTTGGAAAAGCTTGGACTATCGGTAAGTCCCACCCACACTGTAGAGGCTCCACCAGTCACAGATCCCCAGCAGGCATGATTGCAGAAGGGTGTGATAACCTTCAGCCAGTTTATTGAAAAGAAGAAGTGAAACTGTTGTCTTCCTGTCGTATTTCATGTCTCCACTCTGGTTTGTTTCTGTGTACATATTTTATGTAGAGCACTAAGCTCAGCAAAACTTCCCTTGCTCTCTGTGTCCCATCTAGATTCCCCCTGTGCTATCTATGCCTTTCCTAACAAACAAACCTTTTTCCACCAGTTTCAAACAAAATATCTACTGTATAGAACAAAGAGTGTGGTCTAGACCTGCTCTTTTTGTAAATTGTCTTGAGATAATATTTATGATGAATTGGCAAATAAAGATAACAAGCAAAGATTGATTGATATGTTGGAGATATCACTCGAAGAGTCATGGGGAATACAGAAAGATCCTATGTGCCATATTATGTAAACAAAGCCTGCTGGAGAGGGAATCATTTGGAGCCCAGGGCTAAAGGCTTACAGTTTGTCACTTGGGATGTCTCTTCCTTAGAGGTGATTGTCTCCTTATTGCTGATCAGATCAGCAGTTGGATCCCTATTTCCATTTGTCATGACACTTGACCCCAAATTTAGGAAATTATACCAATCTGTGTGTTTGTGTGTGAGCAGGCTCACAGCAGCATGTTATAACTCAGGGACCCAGAGATGACTCATCACCCCAGGAATGTTATGATTTTGGATCTGGTGTAGCCTGAGCACAATACAACATGTAGTCAAAAAATGATTGAAACAGTGTTGCATCAAATTCAGTCCAGAAAGGGTTAAAAATGCACTTTGCTTTTTGTCTTGGCTTGATTTGTTAAGCCTAATCATTATAAAATGGAACCAAATGCTTTTCCGTACCAAACACACACAACCTCTCTCATCTAAAGCCCCCCTTTTGTTTAGGCTCTGTGGTATTTCAGGAATGCAAGCGGGTTCAGCAGGGATGTCCCCTAAGCAGCATGAGAAGTGTTTGTACTGTTTTGATATGTGGTACACAAAGATCTGCATTTCTTGCCTAACTCTCTTTTTTTCCTCATTGCTTGTGTTTTATGATTTCAATTGGCTTCATACTTTTCATGGCAGCTTGCAGCAATCTGTAAAAACCTTTAAAATCATAATTTAAAGGATAATCTTCTTGCAGGACTACCTCCCCAGCCAACAGGATATCCTCCTGGCCAGAAAGCCCACAAAAGGCATTCATGAGTATGACTTTGAGATCAAGAACGTTCCCTTTAAGATGGTGGACGTTGGCGGTCAGCGCTCTGAGAGGCGGCGTTGGTTCGAATGCTTCGACTCAGTAACTTCCATCCTCTTTCTCGTGTCCTCCTCTGAATATGACCAGGTGGGTTGGCTGTGGTGAGGCCACGCAAACATTTGGTGTCACATCACTTCTTTGATATTACAGATTTAGAACAAATTCATCATAATCTCAACTCTTGTTGTATAGGATTAGCTGCAGTTTAATAACTTGATTCCCTGCTTATATTAGCATGTGAAAATGTTCTTCTAATGATAACCTGGTGTTCTATGAAATACAAGAGAAGGCCTTTCCAGGTATTTAGAATATTTTATTTTGGCCCAGGTTTAAAAGTGTTTCACCTTTTAGTTTTTTTTTTGGATCTTAATGCCTTGACTGTAGCGATAGGACGGTAGAGAGAGTTGGAAATCTGGGATAGAGAGCGGGGGGGGGTTGACATGCAGGAAAGGAACCACAGGTCGGATTTGAACCTGGGCCGCCCGCTTAGGCTCATGAACTAACCACTGGTCTACTGGTGCCCCATCACCTTGATTATTGATATTTTTTGCCCATTGTAGAAGAAAGGAAGGCGCCCCTGAACACAATCAGTACCAAGGTGATCTCCTTACTGCTGTCTCTTTAAGGACAGGCTCATATGTTTTCAAGTTGGCTTTGCAACCATGATCAGAGTTCCCGATTAACATGAAACATGATTTTCCGGTTGTATTACTAAGTTTGTTTATACTGGCTATTCAAATATCACCTCTTTTCCCGTTTAAGTCATTTGGGGAAAAAGCCAAAGTCCTAAATCTGCTTTGAAATACATTTGAGTTTATGTAATTGTGTTACTATGAGGCTTTAGTCAATTTAACAAATCAATCAGCTATCAAAGACAGTTATAGTCTCCAGCCTGTACACACACTAACCCTAACACACCATGAAGTCATAGCAGAACCTCAACTCTGAAGACTTTGAAAGGTTGTGTAAAGGTAAAGCTACTGAGCTGGTATAAATGCTCCTGGAGAAGTTGCTGCAGAGTTGAAGGGCTGTAGGCATCTTTGTTGAATTTGAAGAATTTTCCAGCTCATACCAGACACACTCTGTCACAATCACCATTAACCTCAGTACACATATTTGTATTGTAATACCTTCAGGTGCTGATGGAGGACCGGCTGACCAACCGGCTTAGCGAGTCCCTCAACATCTTCGAGACTATTGTCAACAACCGGGTGTTCAGCAATGTCTCCATCATCCTTTTCCTGAACAAAACAGACCTGCTGGAGGAGAAGGTGAAGCAGGTATCCATCAAAGACTACTTCCCAGAGTTCTCAGGAGACCCAAGGAGCCTGACAGACGTCCAGCGCTTCCTGGTGGAATGCTTTCGCAAAAAGCGCCGCGAGCAGCAGCAGAAGCCGCTGTATCACCACTTCACCACAGCCATCAACACTGAGAACATCCGGCTGGTGTTCCGCGATGTCAAGGACACCATCCTGCACGATAACCTCAAGCAGCTAATGCTACAGTGAGGGGACCTACACGGAGGAGGATGTGTGGTGGGTGGAGGAGAAGTGGGTGTCATGGTGCCTTTCTTAACACACAAACACCCCAGCCTGTAGGAGGAACACAGTTACCCTCCACCCAACCATCTTCCTTCCCTTTTGACTTTTACTTGCTCTTTATTTTTGAACTTTGACAATGTATTGAACCCACCACTACTACCGCCATTCCCCACACACCTGCTCTCTGCCTTACTGAGCTTGTTCATTGTGACTTATGACAGGGGCCTTCGGCACAGACCCCAAACCATCCTTTGAAACCACTGTAAATGACTTCTAACCCCCACTCTCTCCCCCCTGTCCACACGCTACAGATGACCCCCTCAAACTTCTTTAATTATATTTACCCCGTCTGTGTTGTTCTAAATCAAACCCACACACCTTTTTGTCTTTGCTGCTCTGACCACTGTTGAGGAGAGGGGGAGGGGCTTGTGTTATTGTTGTCAAGTCGTTACTGTGTAGCCTTCAAGGCCGCCTGCAGATGCCGGTGACACCAGCGACTGTTGCCAGGTATTGCCTTTTTTTATTCTTGCTTCTTTTGTTTTGTCTCTAGTTTCTGCCCTCGACTGACGCCTGGTGATGACATCACTGGGCTGGGGGTGGAGATTTCCTCTAGAGGCAGTGGAACAGGAAAGAACAGTGCTAACACACACACACACACACACACACACACACACACACACACACACACACACACACACACACACTCACAAATAGGAATTCCTGTTCCCAAGTCCACTTAATTCTAGTTTTCTAATAATTTTGTTCCTTTTTCTAATATATGAATATACTGTACGTACCTATGCATTTTTCTTTAACTTATATTTTATAGGGGTTTACACTTTGAGGATTTGTGACTAGTGATGAACTCAGTTAATTACAGGTGGTGGGGTAAGAGACCACAGACACAAACACATGGATCACCTGTAGAAATGAAACTCCATGTTATAAGGCCAGCTAGTGCAGTTAGTTACTTTCTCAGGCACATCGTGAACCACTGTGTGCCAACTAGAACTCACGTGCCTCAGCCCTTCCTCATGAATCAAAAGTCAGACTGTACAGTGGCCTGTGTTCCTGCATTTCAGTGATACATAGAACTTTGGAGGGAATTGTGGAAATGGATTTAAAAAAGGAATCAACTTAAGAAGAACGGTGGAATTCATCTCTAGCAGTTACATTTCAAGCAGAGCAATATCTGAAAGTCTACTTGGAGTCAGGAGAAGAAAAAGGATGGAATGTGAAGGTTTACATCTATTGAACGTTTTTTTTTAAAAGTGCAATTTTGAATTAAACCAAATTCATTAATATTTCTTAAATTTTAATACTTATTTAATTGTGCAAATGAATTCCCCTCTTGCCTCAACCTTTTTTCCACCTGCTATTCAAATCTCATCTTTTTCTAAAGAACTATCCGGAAGATACTCTCCGAATTTTAAAGTGATATTTATTAGACAAGTTATATCAAATTCCATGCTCAAACCATGGTTAGATTTCAATGTATACAAGGGTCAAAGCATCCAGCTAACTGAATACACCCTTCTGAACTGAGTAACAGCTTCTAGGCGCCACGTCCAACCATCAGGTCCACTACTGTAGGTGCTTTAGTCCCTGACTCTTAAAGCCCCGACCTCCACAGACCAAAAATGATGTTTTTCCATGACAAAAAGCATACCTGCTGCCAATCTTTTTGAGAAATTCATGCTTTGTTTTTCCGTGTACATCAGTCTAGATACACACCACGTCTTTGTGGCTTTGGTAGGCTTTAATTGAACATCCTTTTATGTCGCTTGCTGTGCAACATCTATTAACATAGGCGACAAAAATGAAGCCAAAAATCAAAACAGTAATCTTGTTTTGGGAAAGAAGAGTAGCAATGAAAAGTAGCTATTTCCCTCAACATTTAGGTAGTTGGCTTTTTCATGTCCACTTTTTCAGTATTGAGAACAGTCATTAAAAGCAGTGTGGTCACAGAAAAAACCTGAACTTTGGATATGTTAACATATATCCAAAGTTACACACTAGGGTAATCCATTTCTCTTTTAAAAAATATGTGAGGTCAATATATTAAAAAAACAACAATAGAGGTTTCAGGTGAAATTAAATTTTAAAGGTACTGCGAGGATGTAGCCTGTAAAATGTGTCTTTGGTTGTAAAAATCCCTCCAGTAAAATCGTCTTATAGCCACTATGTTGGAAATGTTCTGATGGTTGTACAAAGTGAATGTTATCCAATTCAAAATGAAGCCCTGTGAATTCTCACATTCAAACCCCCCTGGATTCATCTCCACATCGCAGACGTAGAAAGCGGGAATACTGTTTTTCTTTTTCTTTGAATCATGCTTCTTTTCTAAATGGTACCACTGAATGCTTTCCATCTCTCCCTTCTATGCGTTCTAATTGAAAAAAGGGATAAAGCCAACCTGTATGTCACAGTTACATCTTTTGAGTTTTGTCTACTGGCCACCCTTATTGATACTTTCACGTTTTGTACAGATGTGTGTCCCCTTAACTCCTTCTCAGTTGTCTGATATGTATCAGTATGTATCTCTCACACCAAGCCTTCTCTAGTTTCTAACAGCTGATATAACCTCCCATGCACATTTGTATATATGACCATGAGTGTTATATTTTATTTTACTTCATTTTTTTTTTTCTTTAGATGGTGTTTATTTAAGCAAAAGCAGCCGTCTGCGGGCCTGCCCCTGTCCCATTCCTCAGCGTTCTTCTGATTTGCTGAACATGTGCCACAGTAGACAACAGGCCCCATTGGTCCATGCTGATCATTTCAGCAAAAGTTGATGTTGAAGGCAATAATTAAATGTCAAAAACAAGTTAAAAAGATTGGTAGTTGGTCTTTGATTGAGCTGCTTAATATTCTTGATATTTAGCAAAATGAATAGAAAAAGATTCACTGACATCTATTTGCAGCAGCAAGGATGCTCTGTTTTTTGTTTTTTTTCTTACAATTTGTATATATGGTTTTTATTGTCAATTCAGTTTATCAGTCTAAGACTGAATGGCTTCAGTATGCCCTAGTTACTACTGACCAAGCAATTTATTTTCCCAAAGCATAGCACCATGGTGTACTAAGTTGTCATAGATACTGTAGGACTACAATTATATATAAGCTGAAACATTGTCAATATTTTATACAGCAAACTTAATAAGTGGACCTGTCACATAGAACTGCCCCCAACCCCCTCACATGATTAGTTGCTCCTTTATTTTAGTTGCATAAATCATATGTCTTGTATCTTCCTGTTTTGTTCAGAATCAGCTTCCGACCAGAAATAACTGCTTTTGACGTTAGTTTGAAATGACTGTGAACAACGTCTTGATAGACAAAGACATTTTTTTCTTTTCTGTCCATGTAGCTGCATGAGTGTAGTGCTTCCTGTCCCCTAAACCAACAAAGATCTTACTTTCACTCGTAATGAATGTAAGCATGCAGCGGTTAACTGATTTTAGTTTGAATGTTCCCAACTCTAAAAGAGGAAGTTGACGAATAGGGCTGTCTACCAAAAGCTCTGTGAATTCCTCTGACTGTGCAGTGCCAGTCAGCATGATTCCCCCTCCGTCATCCAGCCTGCATCTAGATGAAGCAGCCTGTGTGTTTGTGTGTGTGTGAGAGAGAGAGAGAGAGAGACAAATACACAGTGTCTTGTCTGCTCGGGGAGCCCGAAGTGAAACCAAGCAGAAGCCTCTTTGTCTAAAATCTGACAGTTGTCATGTCTTCTCTTTGGCCTGTACACGCACTAACCCTAACACACCATGAAGTCATAGCAGAACCTAAACTCTGAAATACTCTTTGTCCACACTAAACAAACTTGCCTTGATTTTTGGAGAATAGACAATAAATTGTAATTTATTGAGCATCAGCAGATGAGTGAACAATGGAGTCGAACATACTGATATACTCTGTGAGCGCTAAATGGAACGTCCATACTATAACCATATTGTCTCAACAGGGTGCAACATTATGAAAAGAATAAACTCAAATTCTTCTTTTTGGTTTAAAGAAAGGAAATCATTTTCATCATTAGAGACCTGAACTAATGTCTTATTCCAAGTCAGACCTCCAATCTTAACACAAATGTAGGATGTGCGGTTATAATCTAATAATTCTCTTGTCAATGTAAGCAAAAATATCTTCTGAAGCTTATGGTGCGCTAGTTGTCCATTATGTTTGTGCACTAAAAATATTAGAGCCCGACCCATTAATCGGGCTGCCGACAACTTTGTTTGACAGATGTCAGATCAAAGATAGAACCAAGAAAGATCTCGGCCAATGTATCAGTATACGATTATTTAAATCCCTAATATCAACATCGGTCCCAAGAAATGTCATATCGGTCGGGCCCTTACAAGGTTATGAAATGTTTTAAACAAGGGAGGCGTTCTTAATTAATTTCTTGATTTAAGATCTCATACTCAAATTTTCACCATATTGCTTATGTTGTCATGGACACAAGCAGTGACAATCCTTCTCCTTTTCTTAATAAATTGTTATTAATCCACTTTAATCCATTTTTTTTTTTAAATTGACGACTTATTCCTGCCGATGGTCATTCTGCCTCTCACGTCAGAATCAATATACTGCAAGTTTACATTTATTAGATTTAACAATAATTGAACAAATAATGGTGTCCAAAGCTGGTTCTTGAGAACTCATACTCGCCCTTAGTTTGTACACAGCCCTGTGTCCTCTTGATAGAAAATAAACAAAGGGCTCAGACCAAGCCACACCACTGATCTGACAAACAGGAACAGTGAGCATTCATGCACTGTCCTCTAACCTTTTACATCATCATTTAAAAGAATGGGGTTACACCATGATAGGGATTAAAATTACTTCCAGTATTAAGGTCAACTTACCTTCAGGCTATGACGTGTCAATCAGGAGAGACTTCATGAGTGAAAAATTATTTATTTGGCTCGTGCATAATGAGCATGAGAAATGGCCAAGTGTTTGACGATTAGACCCTGTCAAAGTGTCTCTGTGTGTTTTTGAGGGGATTGTGAGGCTGAGAGCAAGATGGGATACATCCTGACTGGGTCTGGTGGAGGAATGAGGTAGCATGTGATGTGGAGCTCAAACTGGATCACAGAAATTAGAGGTGAATTAGATGGAGGAGGGTCGTAACATTTACACTGAGATCACAACTGAGAGCAGCAGAGAAGAAAACAGATTTCATGTTCGACAGCTGCAGAGTGATTAGCTAGTGTAGAAAGTGGCACAATTTGGTTGATCAATGCTGAAGGAGTAAACACCCATGATCTGCTGATTGAAGAAATACATTTCTTTAAAGAGGGATGGAGAGTGGTTTGGTACGAGGCATGAAGAGTCTTCCTGCTAGAACTGATGCTGAGCTTCAGTATGGAATATTGACTCCTCAACTAGGACCCTTCTGTAAGACCTAAAATAAAATGTGATGTTTTCAATGTGTTTATGAAACATCTCTGTGTGATACTAGAAATCCTGAATGCCATCCTAAACTGACATAAAGTAATGTTTTTGATAAGGAAGCTTCTGTAATAACGCCCCAGGACTTAACCGTCATTCTTTCAGTCCAGTTAGAGTCCACAAAACATTCACACCCACATTTTTCCAAAGCACTTGTTTTCTGGTATTTTCCCTTATATCATGAATGCAGAGTTTTTTTAGGTGGTTATGTCGGGAATTAGGAAGAAATCAATTCTGTGATTTATCAAAAATACTGAACTATTTTCACCGCGCCTGTTTTAAAACCCTCTGAATTGTATGTGTAAATACAATGATTAAACATATGCCTACCAGTATTTTGGCTTTCTCAGCTACATGTCCACAGTCTAATTGGGGAATCCACCCTGTTGCAAAATAACTGAAAATGCCCCTGAATCTCCTCCAATCACAGATGAAGTCCTTATAAGAAGTTTAGTAGTCCGAACCTCAGACTTCTTAGAGAAATCACATCTCTTACTTCATTTTTCATGTGACCCTATAAAGGACTGTACTCTGCTGCTTTACATACTTTTAAGCCTGAAGTATGCCTTAGAAAGCAAGTTTGCACCATTTGTAAAGGGACAGGATATTTCATATTGGAATGCAAAAGGGGGTAAATCTGTCTCTGTAGACCTTTGCAGTATTCACACCTTCTCCATCATCCCAACATAACAATTTGAACATGGCTTTTTACAGAGGCGATTTGACTGACTTGCATATTGAGATTCCATACCAGACCAAAGCTTTGATCTTGACATACAGGACACATTTTACAAAATGATGCTAGTTTCTTTGTGATGAGTGACTGTTACTGTTTTATGAGTCAGTGTTGTCAAATCTGCATCCCAGCTCCTACACAGATTTGTCACTAGTTCACAAGGGGGAACCCAAGATACAGAGTTCTTGTGACAGGTCCCATGTGATGAGCCATCAGTCCTTTTGATCTGGGAATAAGAAAGGATTGGCCTTGTTTGGTTTTCTACCCTTAAAGCTCAATGTCAAGCAGTGTTTTTCTCATGATAAACTACATTCTCATTGTTTCTGAGACTCTGCCTTAAATAAGCCTTCTAACATCTCTGTGATACAGGTTTTGTACACTGCTATTGTGTCTGTTCTGTGAATCTGTCATGACTGTAACAGTGTGTATCCAATACTGGCATTGTGTTGTCCTTGGTAAGAATTGGAAGTAGCTGTAAAGTGAATACTTGTCCAAGGAAACCAGTGTAACCTTATGTAGTTGAAACTATGCAACAGCATTGTCCACAGCCATCACTTTGTCTAATGTTGTGTTTAAAATAATCATGATTGACTGAATGATGATTCTCTTAACGCCAATGTCTTATTGAAATGATACTTTCTTCAAATCAGGAAAAAAACTGCAGCTGCTGCAAAGATGTTCTGATGTTTAGTGCCTCTTATTCTATGCTCTAAACTCTACTTTCCAGCAAGTTTTATACTGTGTTGTGGGTTTTTGGAAATATGCCACATACAGAATTTGATGTCATCATATAAATTAATTTTCTTTTACATTTTGTTTTTCAGACATTCAAGCTTTCAATGTACAGTCTAACTTATGCTGTTTGTCCTCTAATCTCAAAAACAAATACAGTTGGAAAAAAAGGTGTCTTGTTTTATTTATATTTACTCACAAAATACAGGAGTTAGAAAAGTAGATACAGTATCTAGATCGCATAGGAAAAGGGTCGAACCATTTCTTACCCCTGCTAACAAATTTACTAAAACAAAAAAGTCTGTCACAAACTTTTTGTGTCCTTCATTTTGCACTGAACCTTTATCTCACAGCAGACAACATGCTTCAAGTGTCTATATTTAATATATTTTCTTTTGTGTTTTACAATCCTGGCTTGGAGATGGATCAATTAGCTTAATGGATTGCTGACAGTGTCATTTGTTGCAACTGCTGACACTTTTTCTATTGATTTTTATACTTAATGGGGTCATGCAGAGTAGAAGTGAAATCTACATCAACGTCAAATACCAAAGAACATTCTGAACAGCGGTATCCATGTTGGTGATTTTTCTAATGCTAGTTATATGACAGACCAAGAAAAGCTAACCAAATGTTAAATAATGTAGTCAGCCATTGTTATTGTCAGATGAGGGGCATGTTCATCACACAAAAAAGAATGGTTAACTCTGATGAAATCATCCATCTTTCATCCATTCATCCTACATTTTTGGTGTCAATATGTACACAGAAACCAATTTTTGAAAAGGCCATAGGTCAGAGACAATACTGATGTTCAGCCAGCAGAGTTCACTGTCTTAGTACTTCTAAAAGCGTTGAAAGAAAGGAAGTGAGTCGCCCACTGCAGCTCTCTAACAGATGCTAAGAGGAATTCTTCTATAACGTATAAAACCAAAATCTGCTGTCAAAGACAATGTTTTTTATTTTCTCAAGTTCTTAAAGTTTAAATGACTGAAGTCCCCTCATATTCCGTTATAAGCTTTTTTCACTTTTGACTCCAAAATAAATTTGAATTCAAGCTTAAATGGATTGAAGGAGATGACAACTAACAGCATGCAGCTTTTTAAACTAAATCATGATTTCACATGCAGTTCATGTCAATACATATTTAAGTCCTGCTATAAAGAAATGCAATTATATATAGTACATTTATGTTGTAACATTTAAGGAGCCATACGTGTGAAGAAGTAGGCTTCAACTGTTCATAATGTAAGCTCAGACAAATTGTGGAGTTGGCTTAGTTATACAGGATGCAGCTGAACACGCTTCAGCAAGCTCAGTGGCAGTGGCAAGCTCAGTGTCCTATGGATTTACACACGATTGTTGTCAAACGTCACACCCTTTGCATACTGTTGACAAAGTCTCTGTCACATCAGTAAACCATGTTTACACTAGACACAAAAAATTAAACTGGGTTTCAAGAATCTTTTATTTAGAAAGTACAAAATTCAAACATAACAGTGCTTAACAGGCAAGGAGCTGCCAGTCATTCAGTTGGATAAAAAAAACAGCTTTAAGTAATATTAAAATAATGAACATTAATTTATCTTATAAACAATAACCATAAGCACTTTAAATAAAGGTGACACTGTTTTAAAAAAACGGTTTGTGATCCATACTTCAAGTCATATAGTGGTGAATAGCACAACATCAACAGGAACTGAGGCTGCAGGACATATCCTGCGAGGAGTGCTTTTTGTGGAGTGGCTGTGCCTTTCTATTCTATATATGGCCAATACTTATTTTAGAAGTGAACATTATCTCTTACTTCCAAATGAGAAGCCAATATAGGACATTAAACCTACATTCCATGTACTGGTCAGCAGGGGTCCATTCCACTGGCTGACACATTTTACCATCTGCATGAAAACATTTTCAAGTCAAGCTTTGACAGTAGGGACATTATTCCAATACAAAACATGCATAAAGGGAGATTGTCTTGTGTTCATTTAGTTTTTTCTTCAGCAGCGGAAACAGACAAATCTGTGTAATGTTGTTAAGGTGTGACACTATGTGCTCAACATGTATGTGCATTTGCCGTCAAAGGAGAGGATGCTTCTTTCCTGGGAGGATTGCGATTCAAGCTTGTAAAAATGTTTGGGTGTGACACCTGAGATTTTGAATCGACAGCAGCTGTTGTGGGGTAGTCCTGGTGACACTGCAGCCTTCTCCAGTGCAAGTCGTTAGTAATGAAGTGATGTCATGCTTTGGCTGGGATATTATTATGGGAGTCTTTTCCTGATCCAGGCTTTTCTGAACAGACTGTCCTCTGGGGCCAAGTCCACCTCCAAAAACTCGGGCTGGTCGCTCTCCTGATTTATCTTCTCCTCTTCCTCCTTGCTTCTCCCTACCTCTTTGTTTCTGCTCTGTCTTTGACAAAAGACAGACTTGGCTGGTCCAACCATAGCCAGACAGACAGCACTGAGTCCCATGCCCACCACACAGGAGTAGAAGGCAGCACTATAGTCCTGTGTGACATCCACCAGCACACCTGGAAAGGAAAAAAGAAAGCTGTTAGGAGCTACAAGAAGTTCAGCAAGGATCAAAGGCAGAAAAGAGTAAAAGGAAGCCGAGGCCTTGTACCTCCTAAAGGTGGCCCTGCCAGCCCAGCAAAGCTCTGGATGAAGACGTACACCCCCACAGATGAAGCCATCTTCTGGATTCCCACCACGTCCTCCTCAGCCAGCATGGGGATGTGAGTAGAGGCAACAGTGCCCATGAAGTAGCCGTAAAGGGCGCAGCAGACCACTAGTCCCCAGAACTCCCACACTTGTGTGAAGGCCACCAGCACCAGGCACAGCAGAACCACACATCCCAGCAGCACTAGGGTCTTCTTGCAGCGGACTTTGTTTAACACCACCCCGATGGACAAGCGGCCAAAGATCTCTGCTACAGCCATCACAGAGAGCATGTAGGAGGCCATGCCAGGGTCCACTCCCTTGCTTTTGCTGAGTTCGATGATGTAGAGCTGTGGGGCAAAGAATCCCAGTGTGGCAAACAAGCCAAAGAGGGAGTACCAGAAGAAGGCAGAGTCTTTAAACACAGAGAAGTCCAGAAGTTTTGGACTGGAGGGCTGGAGAGGACCCGCTTCTACCTCCACATGTTGATCCTCATACTTCTTGACAGTTGATTGTGCAGACAGTGATGGATCCTGGACCTCTTCGTCCTGCACTGCCTCCTTCATCATAGCCTTGCCTTCAACTCCTGCGGTCCCGAGGTCTTCATTAGACCCAGAGAGGGAAGTGACACCTGAGTCCTCTGAGGGCCCAGAGCCTCCTGAACTGATAGATGTTCTGGTTTGTTCATTTTCCAATTCATAATCACCCTGAATATGCTTAAAAGAGAGAGACTCTTTTTCTGATTCATTGTCCTCCTTCAAAGGTTGGGGCATGATAATGATTGGACGAAGGAGGAGCCCTGAGCCAATCACAGAAGCCTGAATGATGCCAAGGACAACCAGACAGTAGCGCCAGCCTATGTGTTCTTTCAGTGCAGTGAAGGCTGTGGAGAAAGGGTGGCATAGGTTATTGGGGTAAGTATACTTAGGGTTCAGTTGCTATCTTACCTAGTTTTGTCAAAGAGCCGTAACAGTCTAGCCTTCTGAGGCTTTGTGATTTTGAAACTAGTGTTTGATTGGTCTTCCTCTGTTTTATAGACTGAATTAAACCAGCTGAAAGTGACATTCTTCAACTTGAAGCTTTAACTGGAGTTGATCTAAACACTTTCTGTTGACAGCAAACTTACAACCATTGGAAAGGTGTCATTTCACAATGTCTGCAGTTCATCCTCATAAGTTAAACTTAATCTATATACAGGAGAAACCCCTTTTCAACAACACATAAGCAACACTAGATGTCATGCTCTCATTTACAAGAAGGCGTGTTGCTGTTTTTCAGTGTTAAAAGAGCTGGAACTTTTAAGTCAAGACTAGTGGCATATTTTCTAACAGCCACCCTGTGCCTGAATACTCACCTGGAGCAAATGCAAATATGGCAAAAGATTCCCCAGAGGAAGCAAGAGAGGTGACAAGAGCTCGCCTTCTAGAAAAGTACTGGGCGAGGATGGTGACAGTGGGCAGGAAGGAGAGGCAGTAGCCGAGGCCTGTAAACAAAAGGGAGAAGAACAAAGGGGACATGACAGCCACTGGCCCGCATGGTAGGGACAGGTGTGGGTCAAAGATCAAGGTGTCAGGTCACTCCTTTCTCAAAGGTGGCAGGCTGCGTGAGACGATTCAACTTTGCTACACCTGCTGCTGCAAGACAAAAGGCATGTAAAGACAAAAAAAAAGAGAGACAGGGGAGAGAGGAGAAGAAGGGGTTGTCAAATTAGCTGTGGTCCATTTCAGCAGAAGACATGGTGGGAGAGCTAGCAGTGCTTTCTGTCAAAAGAAGAACAGTTAATGTGATCTGATGTGGATTTCATTAGACCAATTTGTTCATCATCCAGTCTTTTACTTTCTTTCCATCAATTGAGCTCCACTTTCTGCTCTGTCCCGATCTGTAAGAGAACTTAAATGTTGTTGTTTATTTTAAATGATGTGCTGCTTCTGTTTTTCCTCCCTAGTGAGTTAAGGTTTTGAAATAGACTCCACTGTAAGGTGTTTAGCAGAGGCGGTTCAACTCTAAATCACCTCTGAAAGAATCAGATTAATGCAGATTTTGTCATAGACACTGCTAGGAGTCCCTTTAGTTCCTATAATACAGGCTGTTAAACCAGACAAACACATCTGCAGGAGCAAGACATGGAAAGATGGCTAGATAGATGGATGGATGAGGGTGGTGGTGGACTTTGAAAATTACCTGTGACAATGCCTATGGTGATGTACATCTCGTTGATGGAGTTGGTGAAGGCGGAGGTGATGGTGCCCAGGCTCATTAGGAAGCCTCCCACCATCACCACTGGACGATAGCCGAAGCGGTTGCTCAGAATGGTGGACAAAGGGGCTGGGATGGGGGATAAGAAAACAAATAAATTAAAAATCATTTAAACTCTGTCTCTTAATAGTTGTTTCTTATCAAGTGTTTTGTTACCCTGTTCAGCTGTGTTAAGGTTTTATCGGCTGCTACAATGACTTTACATGCATATGGATGATTATAACTAACAGTGTATCAGAATGAAGTATTTTAAACAGGGTTGAAAATCTTAAGGACTCATATAGTAACCTTGATATTGTAGATCTACATATACATGCAGCAGGTAAGTTATCAGATTGCTGGACGTGTCTTTGTTGTTTGGCTGTTATGATGATGTTAGGGGGCTCTGTAGTAGAACCACTTCTTTTCCTCACAGTACATACAAAAAAAATCTTTAAAATAAACACTAATTTGGGACAGATTTACAAATAGATTGTCATCTGTCAAGTCTGTGAATTAATCTACACATATAAATATTAGAACTGTTGTAAAATGTTTGATGTTTTGTAAGATGTCAACAGGACAATCAGCAGATCATTTTAAACATTCTATTTTTTTTTAACTGCATCATGCAAAAAAAAATTACACAAGGCAACACATTATATTTGTTGCAAAACTTACATGTCTGTGTTCCTGCTTTTATCTGTTAACATAAACATTAAAATTAAAAGCAAAAGGGTTCTGCAATGAATAAGTGTAGCTCATGTTAGCACAGAGGCCATAACTAAGGTATGCACACTTTGCAAAGATTTTGATTTGAAGGTAAGCCAGGAATCTGTGTTTCTGTTTTGTTCTTAGTAAATCACAAGTAAATGAGTGAGAGTGGCTGTAACATGCAAGTAAATGCAAACATATTATGCTTGAAATTGGAGTTAAAATAGGGAGAAACTGTCTAACCAGTGAAGGTAAAGATGAAGACACAGATGGAGATGACCCATGAAACTCGGCTGTTGCTCTCCTCAAATTCTTCCATCAGATCCTGGAGGAAAACACCCAAGCTCTTGAGGGTCCCATAGGTGCACACTTCCACCAAAAAGAAAGCAACAGCCACAGCCCAGCCCCAGCCGCCATCAGGGACCTCTGGGTAAACGTTTGGACCCAAACAACCCTTTGAATCCGGCATCCTCATGGCTTCAGTGAGCTGCCTGCCTGGAGGGGGAGACAAATGACATCAGTGAGCTCATTCTGAAGTACAACTTGAAGTTGCATTTGTAAGCCAACTAATTACTTAGCGAGGAATGGTCTTGGTATTGTTGCATGAACCCCCTTTTCCAGAGCACATCAACCACACTACATCACATGCTTTCATATCCTAGAAGGCCTCACTTGTTAAAGGTGAAGTCTGCTTGTGTCACTCAGCTGGTAGGTCTAACAGAGGCTTTATTAACAGACAACAAGCATGAATCATGATCTGATAGTGTCATAACAGTTCATCAAAAAGTAACAGTCATCGCTAATAGAAAGCATTTTCCCCAAAAGATGTGTGCCCATAACATAACATTTGTTTGCTTTAAAGGTATAAAGGTTTCTGCATTTTGTACCGCCCTGAGCAATAAAACAGCTTTCACAACAAGAAACTCCACTAAAGAGCTTAGAGAAAGCAAACAAGCCAGGACTATCAAGTAACTGTAACTGTCAAGTTACTGTCAAGTAACTTGACATAATGAGAAGCTGGATTACTTTTACCAACAGGCGTGTTCTTCGTCAATTTATTAACTGGCACTGTTATTAAAGTACTTTTAGTATTTAATTTTAGTATCATAATGGCTTTTGTTGTTGCTCGAGTATTTCAAAGTAGCCCACATCTCACTTCACGTGTGCGATAAGGTCTGACTATCCGCAGTGCAGAGGAAGAGAAGGAATGACGTCACCCCTTTGAGTTTTACACAGCGGCGAAGGCAGCAAGTGCAGTTTAGCGTTTGTGTTGGGTTTTTTGATTCTCTTTAATATACCGGAAATTGAACTGCCTGCCTGACTAAACATCTTACTTTAATGTGTGAATAACAATATAAAGGTATAAATGTAAAGTAGGTCATGATTGGCTACCAGAATCCTTACATACGACTGACTATACAAAAGCAGAAGCGGAACAGCTCTGAATGGCAGCTGTGCTTTACAGTGACCTGAGCCTACAGCATCTCACAGCTGAAGCCAAAGTGACATCTAACTTACCGGCAGCGATCACAAGCGAGGTAACAGCAGCCTCTTGGTTCTATGATCTCGTCGTCATTTCATTTTGACATGAAGGTAGTTCAAACATGAAGGCTTTTTACCAAGATGAAGTGAGCAAATATCCGCCTTTATAAAACCACAATACCTACGCCACTTACTGTCCCTGTTGAAAAATAAAATGACCATAACATTGACTTTACTATGGACTTTACTGTTTCAGTTAAAGCTCCATCCCTGCCAATAGCATCTTTTGTCTTGGGAGAATTATTCACTGCCTGTTTTGGCAGCTCTTTACCGGCTCAAGCCGGTATATAGACGAGGACGTGCGATTCTTCTTCATGAACGCGCAGACTCAGCCTAGTCCATAGACTGTCTAGTCTCCCTGATGAAAGACATGCGTCATAACGTCATAACAGCGCCACGTGTTATAAAGCAACCACATGAACCATCGAAATAAATACGAACATAAAATTATTTAGGTCAAATATAGCCTATAGTCAAATGAGTTTACGGAATGCTGATATTCAATATGCCTTAGTTTGGCTTCAATTTTAATACAGGGGAAAATGACTACACATACAGTAGGCTAGGTCTACTGGGAAATGTAGGAAATAAAGAGGTTAACAAATGAATAGGCTAAAGGAATCATGAGATATCGGTATAAATAGCTTTATTTTCATGGTGAAAGTGAATGAAGAGGGAGAGGCGAGTAGTTCAGCAATAGTGGGTATTGCTTCTAATACATACCCATACATGCTACATGTATAGTACTGTTTTTTTTTCCACACGGTAGTCTAAATCTTTTGCCTTCTTTTCGCTTTTAACGTAGCCTACCAGTACGTTCTGCCACGCGCTGTACAATCTATGGCTACAACCGGCTACAACGCACTACGTAGGCTACTGTACACCAGGCGCGTGCATTGAACAGACAGGTTTTTTCCGATTAAAAGTGTGTTTATTTCAGTGAGGATATCAGTAAAAGGAGTCTGTGGAACTCAATCTCTTTGTTTCTATCGTAGTCCGAGTCAGAAGAACATAAAGCAATATAGGAGCGAAGTTTTACATTTTAATAGTAGCCTAATTACATGTTGAATTCCATTGAATAGACCCCAGCATGTCTTTCATATACCAAATAGCATCACACCATTACTCACCTTTGTCTTTTGTTGTAGTTGTTGAAATCAATGAAGCCTTTAAAGTCTCTGTTCACTTTGGCAGCAGGATATGCATTCAAACATAAGACTAATTTATTTAAAATGTTTCAAATCCTGTGTTATGTGTCCCATAGGCTTGGGAAATACAGGGGGCCGTGAAATTTGTATTATTGACATTTGAACAAAAATTTGCAAAAATGTCATGCTAATTTTTAAATACATTTTCAGGAAAAAAATTGATGGATTTTTGGTTAAATATCATTTCAATATTGTATATTTATAGGAATGCTGATCAAAGTCATGTTTAATTTAGCCAGTATTTATCTTAGTATACTCCAATAACCACTCACCTGTATCAGCTGTGACTGTTCCTTTGGCACATGAAGAGCAGAGGTGCCCTAATCTAGAACACGTTATGCTTTAAGGCAGGGCTGTGAATAAGATGTGCCAGGTCCAGCCCTCAAATCTGATTGGACATCCAGGTGTCACTTGAAAATCCCCCTTTCATAATTATTAAAGGTTCAGGGAATTTTTGACCTGCATCTCCTTTAGTACCAGATACACAGAAAGTGTATAAACATACTTGTGTATTTGATGTAAAATCTAAGGAACCCTTAGAATAATCACGTAACAATGCTACATTTGGGTCAACTTTACACTGGGATGATAATGTTTTTGTTGTTGTTTGTTTATGTTTAATATAATGGTCTTTAACAAAAAGTTTAATTTCACATCTTTTTTTTATATATCTATAAACAAGGACATGAAGTTTTTACTGGGTGTTAAACCAGCAAACATACTGAAAAAGAGTATCTTCTAGGTTGTTTTTAGTAACTGTTCACTTAAAATCAGCTTTTTTTTAATACAAACAAACAAACTCCCTATTTGCGTAAAAGACTAAACCAAAGACACTGTTTCTGATAAGCTTGGTGCTGTTTTTCTAATTTCTAATTTGCTTGGATCACACCACATCTTTGCTTTCCTATTTAAAGTGGCACAGATATTCCACCCGAGTACTTACAGTAGTGCTCATAATACATATGTAACAGAAGTCCAAAGAGTTACATAACCAATTTGTGTAAAGAACAGGAGCCACACCAATTAAAGTCAGTCAATATGTAACATAGAATGACAGACTGGAGAAATGTAAATATCCTACTATACAGGAAACTGTGCCATAAAACTAGGAAAAAAAAGATTATTTTGTTTTTCTGGCTAAATTTCTCTCCGGTGTAGAGACAACCAACTCTACCACTAAGCCTTAATCTGACCTGCAGCTCCTTTCCCCACTATCTCCCTGGTTTCCTACTCTATCACTGACCTAAATAAGTGCAAACATTCCAAACATAAATCTTTTTTTTCCCCACAGTTTTGTTTATTAAAGTTTTGTACAGAAGTACTTGTGGGTGATAGTGTTGCAAGGTTACATCAACAAACAAAAACAAACACTAGAACAGGGTGGTCAGTCTGGTCACACTATGGATCATGGCTGTTAGTATGCATAACAATTTTAGTCCTTAAAGCAGAGTAGAAGAGGGAAGACAAAAGAAGAAACAATAAATAAATAAATAGATACATCAATACAATAATTACAAGGCTTAATAGACAAAGAGGCTAGCAGCAGGACAGAGCAGGATCTTACTCAGGAACAACTAGGAAAATAATCTTATCTGCGTAAACAAGGAAGGGGCCCCACACTTTTCTGAATTTCTGAGAGGATCCTTTTAATGTATATCGAATTCTTTCGAGTTTAAACTTATTAAAAATCTCTTTTACCCAGAGAGTGTTGGAAGGGGGTGTTGCAAAAGCGATTATATCTGATTGCGGTTTAGATAAGGGCACCTGAGAGATGCCAAACAAGGCAGTCATAGCATTAGGTTGAAGAAATGTCCCAGTTATCTCTGATTGAGATTTAAAAATTGCAGTCCAATAATTATACAAAAATGTGCAGGACCAGAACATGTGGACATGGTTTGCAGGCATCTGGTGACATTTCTCACAGGACTGGTCAACCGTGTCATAGATCTTGGAGAGTCGAACCTTGATCCAGTAAGTGACCTTGATCCAGTAAGTGACCTTGATCCAGTAAGTGCGGTGAACCACTTTACATTGCATTAAGCCATAGATGAAGTATGTACCCCATTAAGAATATCCCCCCAGAGCTCGTCTGAAATGCCCTCCCCCAGTTCCTCCTCCCAGAGAGCCTTCACAATATTCAAAGAGGCTGAGGATAGGTTTTGAATTTGACTATAAATATGTGAAATCATACCTCTTCTCATGATTGGTACTTGAATAAAGAAAGTATCTAGGGTTGTATCGGCAGGCAGGAAATTGGGCATATGTATTGTAAGCAAAACAATGAGCTTGTAGTTATCGGAAAAAGTGATTCTTAGGAATAGAAAACAGCTCCTGGAGTTGTTGAAAAGATGCAAATACATTATCGATGTATAAATCTCTAAATCGTTTAATGCCAAGATTGGATCATCCAAACATAAATCTTAATAAAAACAAGAAGAATTAAATTTCCTTAATACCTCCAGATCAATTTGGAGTAAAGTGTCTTGACCAAGGATACCTTGGACATGTGGCTGCAGGAGCAGGGGATCGAACCCCTGACCTTTTCGGTTGAGAGACGTCCAACTCTACCAGCTGAGCAGCCAAATTAAAATTCAGAACTAAAAACATGTGAGGCACAAAATGTGCTGATTGACTTCAAGAATGGCTCAAATATTGATGGAAGAATAAAAAGGCCTCTTTAGTTTACACATGGCCTGTTTTTGATAGTTATGGTCAAAAGCACCACTAAAACAATGCTATATGTTAACAACTTCCCCTCATGCTTTTAATACCATGTAGTTTCAAAAAAAATAATTTTGTCTTCACTTTAAAGAGGGTAGGTTAGTCTTGCCCATTCATTGGTTCCAAAAGATGTAGTGGTTAGCTGATAGTGTCACATTGATGTGGGCCTCAAAGATATATCAAGTTGCATACAGGTTTTTCTTACTTACACAACATGCTGTATGGTACCAATTGTGATGGACTGTGATGGCAGTCGCTGCTGTGTTTCCTGCAAAGGATTAATAAAGTGCCCATCCATCTATCTATGTAATGCTGATTCAGATTTGATGTCATCACAAAATTTGTCCAAAAGCCTTTTCTAAATAATTGACTATCTTTACTGGAGAAAATCTTCAGAGAGATCAGGCTATCTAAAGTCAAGAGCACATTTCACAACACTGTGAGACAACTGTTAGTATCCAACCATTTCTAACCTAATAACTTTCAGATAGTGTTAGGAATTAGGAAACCCTCATTTAATTTCAAAACTATGTTAGCCAACTCCTTTAATAGATCATGAAGTCATGTCTGCTAGTAAGAGGTTAAATGCCAACATTGGCTGATGTTTGACAGTAAATTAATGGGTATCTAATGTACAACTTTAACCAAGAGAATAGCCAATGGCTAAACTGTCCATTTTCCTTTCATTTGATGATCAACCAAGAAGCTGTGGGTTGATAATGATTTGTCTGAGCATGGGTGAACAAGGAGAATGCTCCATATGTGAATATGATGCACAATACTTTCAACATTGTCTCCAGTCACTTGTGGAAGAGCATCACCACTGAGGGGGATGGCTGTCTGCACAAGATTTAAAGATGTAAAACAATGTAAACTATTCTTTATGAAAGTCATTTACTTGAGAATGTAGGTTTCTAACTAAATTTGCATCAAGCTGCAAAAATAAGTGCAGAATATAATCACCTAATAATAGCAATTGTTTTCCCTCTGGTTAGCATTGTTTTTAGAGTACGACTTTCAGTGGTCTTGTTATGTCAGTTATGAACGGCTCTAGCCTTCCAGAACATAAGGTCAAGACATGAAATGCATGGATGGATGGTTTCTAATAAAAAATCCCAATGACAAATAATGAATCTCTGTGCATGGATAGATTTTTTGTGATGTTTGCTTGTTCATATTTTTGTCATTTTTAGCTCGCAAAAGTGGTTTGTATACTAATTAACAGCCTAGATTGTTAAAATATTTATTGATCACTTTGTACTGAAAGCCAAACACCTATGGAACATTTAGCATTCGAGAAAATCTCTCAGTGGCTGTAAAAGTTATGAAATGTTTCACCTTTGACCGACCTCATTTATGTAACCATAAACACCTGTGACCAATGACATCAATGAATGTAGGTGTAAGTCAAGAAGAACGGCAGCAAAAGAAACAAGTCAAAATCTGTATTTTGCATAGGTTCACTCTTAATCCACAGTATTAGTTTATTTTCTTTCATTTGTTTTGGTCTTGTGCTATTAGCAAAATATTTAACTACAAATCATAATGGGCACAATATAATACACTACATACATATGAAATATATCCATGAGGCATACACACAACATGTAAAACATGACAATACAGTTAAATACAAAAGACTTCCCATTTTTTTTTGTATGTAAACTAAGTTATTAATGCTGAGAGAAATCAAATGTTGCTATGACAATGCAACTCATATAAAATATGTTTCAAGTAATAAAGCTATAAATATTGTGGTTATGTTTCTGCTCCAGCATGCACTTTGACCAAGCTTAAAGATAAACTCCCTCATTTATTTTTAGCAGCCAACTGTACATGTTCTGAAATGTCCTAACAGTTCATTTGATATTTTTAAACTCAACAGTTAGATCAGGGGAGATTCAGATGTACTGCTGGTGCTTTGACAAAATCAGAAATGTACCTTTAAACACTGTCATTATTCATCTTGAGGATTGTTCAGATTGTTCTTCTCTCTGAAAATAAAGGGCAATCCATGTTTTGCTCAGTGTATCCCATGCCAACTTGAAAGTTCATCAATGTATTTTCTTTCTAAATTAATAAATTACTTGGCACTCCAAGATACTTTAGGAAACTTTTTTTTTTTTTTTTTTGCTGTTCATCTCATTTATCAGCACCTGTCTGTCTCTTAGTCCATCTGTCTTTTCACCCAATCACGAGCGCCGCGCCTTGCCATCTCCAGTCCCATCGCGGCACCAATTAATCTACCAAAACACACGAACAGACCCGTTAGATTTGTCCACCGAATTTTCAAAAGCAGCTCATGTCAACATTTCTGGTACAAAGATAATTGGGAGAAAAAGGTACAACCATTCAAAGCAAGCACAACCATTCAGGACATTTATTAGAATATGTGTGTGTTTGGATCTGTGTAGACAAAAAGCAAAGTTTCCTGGAAGGAAAAAACAAGTACTTAATATAATGCTAACGCTAGCTAATCTAGGGTTTCATTTCTCTGTTACTATTGGTTGGTGACAATAAAAGTTAATGAAGTAAACTGTGAAAGAAGGTGGGCTACTTTCCCTTGAAACCCCTCTTGATGAATTTTGTTAATCTAAACACATGGTTAAATTAGCATAACATGTGGGCAGAATGGCTAAACAAGTAGTAAGACCATAGTTTAAAACTACCAGAATTTCCATGTAATTTAAGGCACACCTGTAATATTATCCAGATATTCACAGTTTTCCCCACAATCCATATAGCAACATAGCTATGTAGTTGGGAACTAAACATTGCTAATAAAGAGGAAGTCTATATGATCTATGTTTTCCTTTCTGCAGATGGATAATTATCATCCTGCTACATAAGGGCCACATCATATAGCTGCTTCACTAATGCCTAATATTTCACTTTTCAGACATGGAATGGTGATGATGAGTCATTAGTCTAACGATTTTGCTAGTTTTTGATACTTGCAAACCAATGTGATGCTGGGTAAAGTGAGCTAGTCATTTCAATGAACCTCGCCGAAGAGTCAGTTTGTTTGCAAACTCAGTCTTTCTGTTTGCATGAATGCTCTGTCTTGCCTACAATAACCAAGACGAGCTAGCTAGTAGCTATAGCTGACAGTTAGCATTTCTGGGTGCTCACAGGAGGAAACTCGTTCTCGTCGTCCAGACACACAGGTCCAGCAGCAAACTCGTGTTCTGGAATGACTTCACCTTTCTTTGCCCCACCATCTTCAGAGTACCCTGGGTAGAAAGAGGAGAAGGGATCTGAACTCCAAATGACACAGGCAAAGCTTAAAATCCCCCTCACTTTGACATCTGTCCGTTTGTGGATGTCTTTAGGACCCATTTGTGGATGTGTTTATTTTGGGACTACGTATATGAGTAGCATGTGTCTCGATAAGAGAGAGTAAAACCTGAAATTCCCCTCCGGAATTTATAAAGTAAGTGAGTTTAATATAAAATGTAATCTACTCAGATCCAATTACATAAACGTAAACACTTAAGAGACTTATTTCAAGACGGAAGTTCAACGTGGATGTCCGTGACAGATTTGAAGAAACTCCCTCAAAGAAAAAACAATAAGTGAGTAAGCAGTTATAGTGTAGGATCCACTTGTTGGCAATGAAGACCTCAATTGACTAGTTAAACAATAACTCTCTCCATATTTTTCTTAGAAAATGAAGTAGTTCTCCTAAAACAAAGCCATCACTCATAACTGGCTTTGTCATCAAAACATCATAACTAAGACTTTCTAAAGGTTGTTTAGCTTCTGATTAGACAGCAGGGTTCGATCCCCAGCTGAGCAACATGTCTGTTGTGTCCTTGGGCAAGACACTTAACCCTGAATTGCTCCCGCTGCTATAGTGGTGGTGTATAAATGGATTAGTTACTTCTGATGATACTACATAGCGATCACTACCATCAGTGTGTGAATGGGTATGAATGGGTGGGTGTGACCTGCGGTGTAAAAGCGCTTTGAGTAGTCGGAAGACTAGAAAAGCGCTTTATAAGCTCAAGTCCATTTACCATTTACCAAAAGTTATTTCAGCAGCTTTGTTTGAGTTTACTGTATCAACAGTAAAGTCAAACCCATCCTGATACAATGTGTATTTATCAGCAAACACTAACCAGTGAGGGTAGCGGTGACAGGACCAGAGGCAGGTAAGGCAGCAGTCGCAGCGTAGGACGGAAAGGCCTGTGTTGGCACTGTGACCTCTGACCCTTCTATCCCTGTTCCTTCATTGTGGTCATCATTATCGTCATCATCATCATCATCATCGCCAAAAAGCCTAGAGAGAGAAGAAAGCAATAATGTATGAAATTAACTTGACCCTTGACTTGAAGATTTCCCATAGCTCGCATAGCACTTAACAGCTTTTTGATTCAGTATTACAGACAACATAGCACACCATTACACTGAGTAATGAGCCATCTATATCTGGATATGGATGTTGTAGACAAATTCTATTCATTTGCAACCACACTGGTGAAGTCAGTGTCAACCCTGTGAGTCAGTAGGTATAGTGGGTCATCTGTAAATCACAGTAGTGGATGTCCAATCACCAGTTCCTCCTGTTCATTTCCTGTTCAGTTCCACCACACTCTATGGAAATTATTTACATTGATCAAAACAATATTACATAAACCTTAGCAATATGAAGTCAATGTTGAAGGAGTATTATAAAACTGCTCTTACAAGTAGAGCGGGTCTCTGCCTCCAAGATAGAAACTGGAAGACTATTCGACTGGAAAGAGCAATGTAATTTATAGTTGACCTTCCAATACTAGTTTTGGAGACTATGGGAAGCACATGGAAGCATGCATTCTGCAGACTCAGAGTTGAAGTGGTCCACCCCAATCCTGTAAAATGAGTTGTAGCCTAACCTGTGTTTGTGCGCCAACACGCACTCGCCTCCATCCAGTGGATCCACATTATAGATGAACAGCTGTCCATCAGCTGTTGCCACTAGCAGCCGCAGAAGCTTCTGGATTCTAAAACATCAGATTTTGTATATATTTATACTGTTTTAAATACATTTCTATCAATTAATTTACTTACATCCAACAGAGTGTTTGACTATTAAAATAACATTCTCCTTTAAAGAATCAATAAATAAAAACTGTTCAGTTAAAGTTAACACTTTAACAATGCAATGTGAAGGTGCATCTTCTGTTCATAAGACTTAAAGAGAAGCTCACATAGCAAGGGTGCAAACGTTCTTCTGGCAGGATGTGAGGAGGTGAACAGTGGCAAAGGCTCGGTCCTGGCTCATCATGCCGGATACTTGAGCAGGGAAGTAGCTGCTGGCTGCTGAGAACATCTTCCCAACGTAGGCTGTCCAGGTCGCAGCCTCGTCCTCTTCACTGCACACAAGATATAACAATTACCTCTAACAGAAGCTTATTACTTTTACTTTAGTACCAAGGCCTACAAAAATACAAGGCAAGTTGAAATTCATTGTCAAACTATTTCAACATAACACCAAATTGGATCCAGGGCCACAGTTTCTTGCCACTTTATTAAAATCACTTGTTAGTTTGTTTTCATACCTGGGTCCAATTTGCTCCAGTTTGAAGATATGTACTGTTTCTGTGTTGCTGGATGCACAGAGGAACTGGCCATCAGGGCTGAAGGATAAAGAGCGTATATTGACGTACCTGCAGAGACAGGGACAGACAAAATAAATATTAAGACACACATATACATTCTGACTTCAGCACATCAGTAACTTATTGTTTGTAAACTGTCTCTTTATCATGTAATGCTTTTTATGACATGTGCTGCTGCCCTCTTGGCCAGGTCACCCTTGTGAAAGTGATCCTGATCTCAATGGGTTATTTACCTGGTTAAATAAAGTTGTTTTTTTTAAGTTTCTCAACCAACACAGATCATGTGCCTTTGAACACAAACCAATCATCAGCATTAAAAAAGTCTCCAGGCAGAAGTGTATGCATTGAAATGTGCCTACAATGCAGCCCTCGAACAGTAGAATGACTCTATGTATTCCAAATCATGAGCCAGGTTATTTAGAGAGGTTTGTCTTTTACTTTTGGGTTAGGGTTAGGGTTAGGGGTTAGGGTTAGAATTCACTTAAGGGCCAGATGTCATGCAAACTCTCAAGACAATGCATGTCCAGTCTAATTGATTTACCTCAGTAACCCCCTACTTCAAATTGACTCTATATCTCTCTTGTAGAGGGCAGATTTTCTACGATATGTTAGTACTCTGACCTCTTCATGCCACGGCGGAACTCAAACAGACGCTGGCCCTCAGGAATTGAAAACACCCGGATAACAGTGCCCTGTAAGAAAGATAATTTTACAAACATTTAGAAAAGCTACACGTTTTCTCACAGAGAATCAGTGCCAGCAACCCGAATACTCTTGTATCCAAGAATACTAATACTTAGAAGAAACAATGGAAGAACTAACATAAACTCAGTAACTGGCTTATAACCTACAAATGTCTTCATTTTGGCTCCAGGATAAAGCCAGAGGAAAAGTGTTCAAATAAGATGGTCTGCAGGAACATAAGGTCCAGGTATTTTCCTTATTTAATTTGAAAAGTTTGAATATTAAGGCCCAAGGGCACAATACATCTTGAAGATAGGAAGTCTAAAAAGCAATTATATTCATACTATGGAGAACTTGACATCATATAGAAAATGTAGCAGAAATTAAGCAATGGCTCTTTACTCCTTTATCATGAATTAAAGTGAAAGGTCGTTCTCACCCTCTCTGAGGCACTGGCAAGTTTGGTGGCCGAGGCGTTGAAGTTGAGAGCTGCCAGAGGACTGTCATGGGCTGGAATCATTGTCACTGTGTTCTGATCCCACACAAGAAAGACACAACAGACAGGAGGAAAGGGTGTTATTTCACTCTGTTATCAATTTTGTACTGGTATGAAATATAGTAATTTGAAGTTTTCTTAGGATGTTTACACTTATGTGTTACATGTTATTAGGATGTTATTAAGTTATTCATCTTGAATCCTGAATTGTTCAGATTGTTCTTCTCTCTGAAAATAAAGGGCAATCCACGTTTTGCTCAGTGTATGCCAGCTTGAAAAGTTCATCAATGTAAATGGACTTGAGCTTGTATAGTGCTTTTCTAGTCTCCCGACTACTCAAAGCGCTTTTACACCCACCCATTCACACCCTTTCACACACTGATGGTAGTGATCGCTATGTAGTATCATCAGAAGTAACTAATGCCATTCATACACCACCACCGAAGCAGCGGGAGCAATTCAGGGTTAAGTGTCTTGCCCGAGGACACACTGGACATGTTGCCCAGCTGGGGATCGAACCCTCGACCTTCCGGTTGAGAGGGGGCGACTCTAAATTACTTGGCACTCCAAGATTCTTTGCTGTTCATCTTTTATCAGCACCTGTCTGTCTTTTCACCCAATCACGAGCGCTGTGCCTTGCCATCTCCAGTCCCATATAGAGTTAATATAGCTGAATATTATGCCTAATTGTGCTTAATTAGGTATAGAAATATCCTGCAGCTCATCTTTTAGATGACTGCGCTAGCTTTGCAGCTTTAGGGAGCTGTGAAAAGTCAATGCAGGTGTGCTTCATTCTATTTACCTGACCTCAGAGACAGGAAGTAACAAAGTAAGTGTTATTGGTATCTGCTGTCGAGTTTTTACTCTGAATATTTTTTTACCCAACATCTGTACTTTCTACTCCTGGCAATTTGAAACGGACTAGCTAGCTCGCATTTAGGGGAACTTGTGTTTTTTATTTGTATTTTGCATCATTGTGCTGCCTTTAAACATCAGGGTCCATTTTAACCTTAATGTAGGGTACAATAACACAAAGACAAGGCATGTAAATCAGGGCTTGTCACACATGGCTGACACAACATTACAAAAAAATGTGTAAAAGATGTATCAAAACCGAAGAAAAAAGAGGAAGTGAGCAGGAGGACTATAGCCTCAGAACATGGGGCGAGCGCACTAAGCTAACTGGCGCCCGTACCAAAGACTTTTTAAACCAAGTATGTGTTCTTCTTCTTGAGTTAGGAAGGTATACAATTTAGCCATCTTTGCCCAACTACATCAATAAACAATGCTTCTGCATGTGGTGCCATGTTCAGTGGTCATTTGGAAGAATACAGCAAAAATAGATTGTATAAGAGAAGATGAAAAATTGATGACCTTCTTCCTAAGAGTTTATTGTCTCAAATGCTGGTGTCAACTCTTATGACATGCATATGGTGTTTATTTTGTGAATTATGGTCCCATTTAGAGCTGAGAATATAGAGTATGGTTTGTTTAAGGCCTTGGTGACTTGTTACTGACAAGGTGCTATAACTGTGACCTGAAAAGGTATTCTCAAGAGATCTTTTGTACTAGAAGGAACTCTTCTAGTACAAAAGATTGCTGTTCATTGTTTCAGTAATTATGTCAAGTTTTTAGACTGCAAGCCAAAATTAGCATATCCATTAATACATCACAGTTAGTGTGAAAAAAAGATGCACATTACTAACTAGCTAGTGCTAGTATAACCTGATAACTTAGTGTTTGCTAACCACTCACTCCTCTATGTCTTGAGGCTTTAAAAAAGTTAGGCCACAAACTAATGGGTGATTCCACTGGGACAACTTCTTCTTGTCACATCAGTATTGTGTTTGGTATGGGTCTAAGCAACGTTACATTTCCGAAAAACAAATTCAAGCTATCTCCTTGTGAATAAAGTTAGGCACATTTGAATGCAAACACTTCTGCCTGGAGACGTTTTTAATGCTCATTATTTGGTTGATCTGTGTTGGTTGAGATACTGATGTGCTGACAAGAAACTGATGAAGTCAGAATGTATACGTGTGTCTTAATATTTATTTTGTCTGTCCCTGTCTCTGCAGGTACGTCAATATACGCTCTTTATCTGAGTTAGTAAAGAAGAGCAGGAGGGGATTTGATCATGCTGGACTTTTGCTCGCTAACCCTTGCTGTGCTGCATGAAGCAACACAGAATGGAGGAAGCTGTTTTTCTTTCCAGCTGAGTTCTCGCAAAAGCCAGCGTGGGGCAGAAATCAGTTGACATCTTCAGGTAAGAAGACACCAGAACTCAACTAAATCTGAGCAAAATGAATAACATATAGTTTCACTTGGAAACGGGGGGACAAGACTCCTGAAGAACAAACAGAAGAAACTGAGAAGTTCAAAGCTTGTATGTTTAAGAGGGACGAAGAGAGACGGGCACAACTGACTGTTCCAAAACACAACTTTCTATGTCTAATTACAGGGCTTTCTGTCTGTTATGAAGAAACTGATAACAACACAAGTGCTCAGTCAGTCGATCACATATTTAAGATCTACGTGGGTCCAAATAAGTCCATTGTGCCTTTGTGACACCAGTACCTCACAGGTAACCTCTCTGCAAGTGTTCCAACAGTGATCCAAGTCCCAAATGTTTCTCCCAGTTTTCTCTGTATTTGATGACACACTGAAACCTCAGCATCAATTCTCATACTGTGGCCAACCAGGGGAAACAGCCCATCAAGTCCAGCACATGGGGGCAGATCCCCAAGCTGGGGGAGGTGACAGACGGAGTGTTCGACCCAGTTGAGTTGCTGCAGCCTCTGGGCACATGGCATTGGGCCCATCAACTAATCGGAGCACAGTTTATTTAACCACCAAGCAGCATGGTGAGGACAACAGAGGCTCGTGCAGCAGGATTAAAAAGTGTCAAGCTGATAACCACCAAGAAACTGGGAGGCTGACTTTCTGAACAAACACTCAGGACTAAACAAAAAGATCATTGCTCTCCCTCTCTGCTTTGCCCACAGGACAGTGAAAAGCCTTGAACTGATAGGATACAGCTAGAGACCCTGGTAGGAATACATCTCAGTTTAAATTATATCTCAATCCCTTTTCCCCCAAATTCACATTAAAGACACTTCATGGTAATGATTTGATTGGTCTGGTGTCTCCTATTTTATTGTGAGCTCTTCTGCCATCCCTCAGGTTGCTAAAATACGTACATACAAAAAAATAAACAAATTTACCAATATAAAAGATTCAAGTCACAAGATAAATATCTAGAAGTCCAAGTGATTTTACAAACAGACACCAGGGAAAGTGATATCAGGACAAACACCGTTACACTGATAAACATTTATAAAAACACAGAAAGAGGAGAAGATAACCTCAGATAAAACATTTTCAGAAAAATTACTGTTCCTCAAATATTCAAGCTTATACAGTGTTCAACTATTTAAAATTAAAATATATGTCAGTTAATGTAACATGAAAGTGCATATAAATGTTGGTTAAAACTTAATCAAATGAAGTCATCTGTAATAAAATAAACAAGTCATACAAAATATGTGTTAAATTATATTTTAAGTTAAACCATTTGTAATATTAAAAAAAGTTTACCTTTATTTAACAACATGTTTTAACAAGCTATGTTAGTATTTCTGTACGGTATGATAAGTCTCTTACCAAATGGTTAGCATCATACACTATGATCTCCCCAATAGTGGCGCTGCCGGGGTATGACAGGTACGAGCTGGAATGGTTGATAGAAAGAGCACAAAGACCTGAAAGAGTGGGAATTGGGGAAAACGTAAATGTCAACTACCACCTGAAAAGTGTTTTAGATACTAACCTAAGCACTGCTAAAAACAGGTATGTTATCACTGGGTGCAAAATAAAAATGTATACTTTAGAGCAAAGGCAATCATTTGCAAGCGCTGTCTGAAAACTGAGACTATCACTGATGTAGCTAGTTGCTACATTAGCTAGACATTACTATACAGTACATTGGCCCTGCACAAGTACCAACACATCTGAGAAAGAGCAAAATGAATAACATGGACATTGGAAACGGGGGGACAAGACTCCAGTCAGGAAAAAAACACAAACAGAAGAAACTGAGAAGTTCAAAGCTTGTATGTTTAAGAGGGACGAAGAGAGACGGGCACAACTGACTGTTCCAAAACACAACTTTCTATGTCTAATTACAGGGCTTTCTGTCCAGAGTAAAGAAGGCTCGCCTACATGTTATGAAGAAACTGATAACAACACAAGTGCTCAGTCAGTCGATCACATTTTTAAGATCTACGTGGATCCAAATAAGTCCATTGTGCCTTTGTGACACCAGTACCTCACAGGTAACCTCTCTGCAAGTGTTCCAATAGTGATCCAAGTCCCAAATGTTTCTCCCAGTTTTCTCTGTATTTGATGACACACTGAAACCTCAGCATCAATTCTCATACTGTGGCCAACCAGGGGAAACAGCCCATCAAGTCCAGCACATGGGGGCAGATCCCCAAGCTGGGGGAGGTGACAGATGGAGTGTTCGACCCAGTTGAGTTGCTGCAGCCTTCTGCAGTGTTTGTAACACCACTGATTCATCGAGCAGAGCAGTCACAGACTGTGAACGAACACTGACATCACATTTTAGTTTGTTGAGTTTTTTTTTTTTTTTTTTCCAATTTTCAATTTTTAAAAATGTTAATAACGTCATTCATTTCTGAGGAGAAATCTTTGGTTTTACATTGTGTTATTGAGAAACATCACACACATGCACAAACAGGATTTTATGGACACTGATGAATGGAGAGATGTCAAAAGTGAGAGGGCTGCACAGAGGGGGCACCACGAGCAGTTTTGGGGGTTGTGCCTTGCTCGAGGGAACCTTCACAGTGTACGAAAGTGAACTGGCACTTCTTCAGTAATCAGACCACTTTTGGTCCCGACTGGGACTTGAACCGGCGACCCTCCATTTCTTAACCTGAGTCTCTGCGAATTGAGCACCTGCTGTCCCATATAGTTAACTTTTTAGCAACACAATCCCCAAATCCAGCAGATAACTACTGCATTCATTAGGATGTTTGTGTCACAGTCTGTCTCCTCTCTGTGTTTCTCTACACCTGTCGAAGACCAACTTCCAAAGGCCGTTCTCTATCTGTGCACCAGTTGCCCTCTGACTTTACCTCCTTCTCCATTTACTGTACACACCTGTTCCCTGTTCTAATCAGCCCATCATGTAATGCCCTTACCTGCCCCGCCCTGTCTCCATTTCACCAATCACTTTCAGTCCATATTGTTTTTATTTCATACTTATCTAGACCAGCCTTCTTACCTACATAGCTTATATCAATAACATGTTTGCCTCCCTGCCTACTATACCTGGCTGTACCTTAACCCATGCACAATAAACTGCAGCAGTCTGCGTGTGATTGTCTGTGCTCGGGGCCATGAACTGGCCATCCATGGAACCAGCAGATGGATTGTTTTCTATAAATTGTTTTGAGGTGGAGGACACTCTATTGTGTCTCTAAACAGAAATGTGTATGAAAGCAGGTTTTTGTTACCTTAGTGGGTTAAATATTTGCTTGCCTCCAGCAGTCTGTACCTCGGGTTATTATCATTAGGCCAGCCAGCTTCCACTCTTCTGATATCTATATACTCTTTCCCTTTTCTTAACAGCCAGACCTAATGCTCACCCTTTCTCCACAAGCCATATAGAACAACTCTTTCCATGTTACCATGCTTTGCTGTATAGTCAATTTATAGAAGTCAGACACAAATCTGCAAAGGAGATGCAAAGGAGCTGTTTTGATGTTGTGTTTTTCTTGTCAAAGGCATATTCAACAGATACAAATAAAGACACTGTAGTAATATTGCTGATATAACTTTTCCAAAGAAACTCCTTCTCCAGCTTCATTATAACCAAAAGGGTCTATGCTTAAATCTCTGACATAAGGACCAATGTTTAAACCATAATCATTCTTCATGAAGTTGTTTCAGTCAGCTAAGCTAGCTATCACAACACTAAACTGCGTGTTTTGTTTGTCTCGAGCACACTCGCCTTCCCAGTCTCTTCCAGTCTCTTACTGCTAATGTCTTACCTGAGGGATTGGAAGGAGTGTTGAGCAGAGTTTTGAGAAGCTTCATGTCTTTGATGTTGTGGATATAAATGGACTCTTCAAGGCACACCACAAGCCTCTGAAAGATACAGGGGAACCTCAGGTTATTGTATTCAAACGTGACCTCAGCATAGAGACAGCATAGAGTCCAACCACAATGGAGAAACACAATTCATCCCTTCCCATTTACTTTGTATAGCAAAGAAAAAACTAAACAAAGAAATGTTTAAGTCAGGAAAACATCACAATTGCTCTCCATCGTAGACCCTCAAAATTGACTAATATAAATTATGCTAAACGTTAATTTTCAGGAAGTTGTTGACCTTTCAAATATTTTTAGATTTTGCTATAGCATTCACAAGTCTCCTCATCTCTAAACTGTTATGTTACCAATGGGCCAGATAAGTGTGAGGCTAAATACACGTTGGACAGTTTTCCTTTTCTTCTTTTACAACATAATGCTCTGTTGTGTGATCCAAATATCACCATGGGTGTGGTCTTTGCAGTCATGTTTAACTTCAACACTTTACACAAAATCTTCTTATCCCTTGTTCATACCAAAATGTTCCCAAACATTTCTACATCTCTTGGGGCGCTGGTGGCCTAGGTTAGTTGGGTTGCCCCATGTACAGAGGCTGTTTTTCCCGCATGTCATTCCCCTCTCTCTGGCTGATTTCTGGATCTATACACTATCCCTCGAATAAAGGCATGAAAGGAAAAAGGCAAGAAATACTTCAAAAATTAAAAATGTACATCTCTAACCTACTAGGAGTAACATTTCAATCCAATTGGTTATGGTTACCTCATAAATATACATTTAATCTTTGTTATTATTGTTGAACAGTTGTAAACACTTATACGACACTTATATATAAAATTATACGCACATATCTACTCTCGAGTAGACCTGAACAATTCAGAATTTTAGAGGTGGATAAAGTCCATTTTTAGATAATTGTCCAGCATGCAGGCCAACATTTTGGCCGGAATGAAAGGGCGTTTGCAATAGGATTGTGCACCAATCTTGGACTGCTATGATAATCCACAAGTGCCAAGAAAATTTGGTACAGACAGTGCTGAGAGTATCAACTATGGAGTCGCAGCACTTTTTACTGGACAAACTATTTCTAAATGACCTCAAGCATTGTCTTCTTCATTATATGTTTGGTAAAACGAAGTTCTCATCTTTGCTCATATACTAAAATACAAATGCAGATATACTTATGTCGAATAAGATCCACTTTTGTCAGTTATAGAAATAAGGCAGGAACATGGAAATAAATGATGGCTTTGGCTGTGTAATGCGGTAGCTCACCTGTCTGTTGAGCTTGACAGCCAGGATCTTGTTGGGGTAGCTGTAGTTGCAGATCTCTGTCCCCTTCTTGAAGTGGTAGATGTTCATGCAATGTGGCATGTTGGTACTCACCACAACAACCAGACTGCTGGAGAACAGACGCTCCACAATGTAAACATCTGGAGTCTCTGCTAGAGGAGAGCAGCCAGCAGACAGAAAGGCAATTAAGAAGATGTCATTGTAATGTTGACTTCACCAAACTATCACTTACAGTCAAGAGACAGACATTTAACTACCACAAACCTCTCCTCAAGAGATCGGCAGACATTCTAACCTCTTGAACCCTGACTTTCATTTCAGTTTCTGGTCAGAAGAATCATCACAATGTGTGGCACTTTATTATTGAAAACAGCACAACTTGGTGAAGTTTTTCTAGCTACATGGTTTCATCACAGTGAAATATATTTTAATAATTAGAAATACAATCTATACACATTGTTCAAGACTGACAGATGTCTCCTTGAGTCTTTCAAAACAAAATGAATATCTAAAAATCCAAAAAGCACCATAAAGAACAAAGATTCTTTCCAACAGGTCAAACTAATGTCATACTGACATGACTACGCAGACTGCAGACAGAAAACAACCATTCTGTGGAAACTCTGTAGTTACATTTCAATTAAGCAGCAACCTCTGGGGCTGAAAATTATAGTTTCTCTTTTTAAGGTTGACTCCTAAAGCAACCCAACCCCCATCCCGCACTCCACAAACACTCACATTAATGCTCTGTGTATAGACTGTCATGAGATTTGAGTTGATGAGTTGATGATATGTGCATGTATATTAAAACAATATGTATTGGGTCTTTTAACCAAAAAAAGCAGCTGATGTGACAAGTTTAAAATGGACCCAGGCAAGACAGCTGCCCATTGGTTCCATCCACGTTGCCTGGTAGCTCATCCTCATCAGATGGGTTATTCAGAGACAGAAGAGTGAATACGGCTGCTCAGTTTACACAAATGCATAAGGTTTCATCCTGTTTGTTATAATGATTACAAAAATGGAACTCCATAAATCACCAGGTACACATGGATATAATTGACCACTAAATATCCAATCACTAAGCTCCCAATAGCAAATGAAGAAAAGTTTAGTAAAAGGTCACAGTATGTTATACTGAAATGTAAGTCCCAACTAAATGGATGGAAGTTTTGCCCAAACTGAGGGAAGATGTGAAATAAAAGAATCCATACTGACCACTCTCATGGATACAGTCCAGTTTTTCCACCATGGTCAAAGAAAACAGTTTATAGCCCGTCTTTGTGCCCAAAGCCAATGACCTGCAATACACAAACACACATAACATAAACCATCAGCAAAAATACAAAATAAAACAACAGGGTACGAATGCATCTATGTCCAATTTTGTTGCGGTCTAACTGGACAAAAAGGGGAAACTTGGCATGATAAGATGTATATTTGGTGGGTTGCATTAACTTTCTCAACATCACTTTCCTGTTCTTTCCCATTGGGTGCCCTCTGGTGGGGGAAATTGTCATTTATAAACGTGAAGTTAGGTTAACCTCCCACAACATATTAAAATGGTTTGACAAAAAGAAATATCTCATTGATCCATGAACAAAATATACAGTCTTTTACAGCGGAAGGAGTATATTTAATTGGCATGAAGATGCAGTTGGATAGATTGCAACAAGTGACCTATAATTTTGATCTTGATAAACAACACATAACTCCAAGAAGATGAAATCATTTTAAAAATATTCTTTGTTTCCTTTCTAAGACCGTTGTTACTGTTAATTGTTCTGAGATATCTGTGTTTTTTTCAGAGTTCATTTTTTATGACAATTGTATTAACCTCTTCATTTGTAAGAGAAGTATTTCTAATTTCTAGGAGAAGGAATTCAGATTTGTGAAAGGAAATTCCCCATCAAACTTCTTCACAAACACAGTAAGTGTTCATTATTTCCAGGACATATCTATTTGTACCAGTTATAAAGACTGAAGTTTAATAGTTTGCCAAACAGCTTTGAGCAGAAACATCTGGTAGAAATGTCCTTGAAGGTTATACTTTTTATAATGTGAGTACACTTCAGGGCCTGTCATTTTCAGATTAAATTAAGGAAAAAACGTTTTTCTCGATTCTTCTTTCACAGGACTCTTTCTTTTTGTACATTTCTCCACTTCTATTTGAGAAAGAAAACTGTGTACTTTGCCATCTCTTAATAATTCTGTTTGTGAGGAAGAAAATTTGTTGTTCACATGTTGTCACTTCCTGTCATAAAAAAAACAAAAAAACATACAAAGATATTCCTAGCCAAATTTGAAACTCGAGGCGTCTCATGATAATGAACAGGATCAACTGTCATGATATAGCATGTACAGTGAAGAAACATGATATGATATAACATGATACAAAGTGAAACAACTGTGTGATGATAATAAACATGTTGTCTCTTTTTTGTCCAGTAGGTGGGATCAACACAATCACATAAGAAAGTCAAAATTGGGGTGGAGGTTAAAGACTGATCATCTATTGACATATGGTTTCAATTGGACACAAAAACATTGTTTGATGATTTCTTAATTGATGCAAACCAAAAGAAAGAAATGCATATATTCAAACAGTGACATTATTCTTTCAGCACCACTCACAGTCATACATACTTTGTATTTCTTCCCTACTTTCACCATACCTGCCCATTTTATTAGATTTACAAAGGATGTGCGTGATTCATCTAATACTGTAGCATTGAAACATGTAATTACACCTTCATGATAACACCAGCACTTTTCTTAACGGCTACTTCTGCCTCTTTTCATGACCATGAGAGCATTCCTGTCCTGTCTCATCCTGTTTCTGAGCAGGAGAAAAACATGCAGAACTCCAGAGAAAATAAAGCATATTTTTACTGCACCATACAGACTGGGTTTCATGTGAAGCTTTCCTTCTGATATCCTCAGAATCTTTGACAATGACAAGTTTAATTCATTTCAAGGCAAGGTGTTAAAATCATAAGTGTGCATTCTTCTGCTGTATGAAAACAATTGCTACCACATTGGCTGAATATGAGTGTGTTAGATGAGGGCAAATAAGTACATGGCAAAACCGTACAAAATATATCTCAATACAAACAACCCTTTCTTTCCCAATATCCTGCTCTTATCTTTTGGATTACTCAGCACTTTAATGTTTTGTAAGTAGGTCTGTGTGAAATGCTGTTTAGTGTGCATTGAGTGCTTGCTCAACATAAAGCAACTGTTGTGTTGCAGATAACCCACGTACGCACATTCACAAACCAATGGTGTTTTGGATATCTCAAGAAAAGAAGGGCACTTGTATTTTACTGTGAAACATTGGGTTGGTAGCTCCGTGGCCCCTTTTGTAATGTAAACACAGAGTTTGCAGGAGTGCTGTCACAGCACTTAAAAGGCTGTGAGCAGACTTTCAGCAAGGAGTCTACATGTTTTCAGACCTCAGCAGACTTTAATCGACAACTATTTATTGCAATACATACTAGACGTTGCAGTCTTACCCACCCATGGGATCGCAGGCAAAAAACTGCCTAATAAATATACGTAGAGCCCATGACATCAGCCATTGGTTCATGGGCAGTGTTTTTCGAGCCTCAAGTTTTTTTTTTAATTTGGCCATCACCATGTTAGTTTCCTGGGTCCAGAGGTGACCATACCAACCAGAGTGAGGGATTGGCAAACACCTATCAATGTTATGAGGTCTTGAGAGCAAATCCTTTAAGTAAAAACAGTTTTATGGCAAAAAAAATAAATTGATTTTTTGAAAATGTATGAACCAAAAAAAAAAGGGTTTGCAAACCACAGTTATGTTTGCAATTCAAAAAGGTTCATGCTGTAGGCAGGACCTAAGCTTTAACACCTAAGAAACGTCTGAGTGACAGAAAACAAGGGAAGGTTAAACAAAGTGTTCAGTCCTGGTAATATCAAACAAGAGGTAAAAAAAACCCACACTGTTTGTCAGCCTGTATCTGCTAGCAGGAAAGTTAATTAACTGTAGTTACTCATTTAACAAAGGAATGTTGACCTCCCAAGCTATTACCATGCATAATATTGTGAATGTACCACATAGTATTTGTGTTGAATGAGCTTAGATTAAACGTGTGTTGTGTTTTATTGTCTAATCAGCCTGTAGCCAGCTTTGATAATGTCAGTCACTTTCTTGACTTCAGTTGTCTCCAATGCTTAGCTGTCTCATCCCAATGCACCATGGTATGGGCATTCATTTGCATATGAAAACAACGGATCTCTCTGGAGTGATGAAAAAAAACCGGTAAAATCTCTTGTGTTGGGCATGAAAAAAAAATGTTTTATGTTCCGAATATTTTCCACATTATTTTTTTTACCATTTGAGTGTTGGTGCTCATTCTACCACTTCATTTTTTCTTGTTCCAATGCTTGATAGAGCATTGACTTATAGCCGACTTTTTGTAAACAGTTTTAGAGTCTGCAAGGTCAAGTCCTTTTGACCCTATACTGCACAGATCTCCTCAGAAAGGTGCAACACATCATAGAGGCTAAAAGGCAGCGTGGGCACATGATGTTTACAAGACAAGCAAGTGATCACAGGTAGACAGCTAACTAAACAGATAGCAGCTACCCATTCCAATAACACAGCGGTATACTAAAACAATACACATGCACTACAATGTTGCTATTACTAACAGAGCCTAATAAAAAGGGTAGCCTGTTTAGTGTAGTTACGATCCAGCCCAAAGGTTTTAGATTCCAATGCAAAACTTATAGATTTTCAAGTTTTGTAAAGGTGATTACATTTTAATGACACATTTAGCCTATTTCACTTACAATTAAATACTTTTAGAGTGCAAAGTTTAAAGTTCTGCTTCCGAACCTATTGTGTTAGAAAAACAGACAAAAACGTGACAGCAAGTGATCCTTCGATTTCTGAGGCTTAATGTAATGTAGGCTGTGGGTTATTTGTGTGCAGCCTAACTATTTTTAACTGCATAGCCTACGATCTGTCAAGTTCGAGTTCATTCAGAATGAGTCCTCTCAGACTCATACGATCTGAATCTGTTTGCGGCCTTACGTGGAGTCTTGGTTGAAAGAGGCACAGCCAAACGGGAGCCCAGATCCATCCGGCCCACCAGGCCCACCAGCACACTCTCCGGTCTCCATCCCGATTCCCAGCGACCTCCTATCCTCCATCCGTCCTGGATTGGAGGCCTGGGATCGGCTGCACCTCTTCGCTCGATGTCGGCGAAGACGGCTCCAATTTGAAAGAAATGTGAACCGTTTGTGTTGTGTGGGAAAAAGGAGCGCTCGACACGGAGCCGGGAGGTTTCTGTGTTAGAAATGAACTAAAAATTCCGTTTCAGTTTGGTTATTATAGTGGTCGGTTAGGCTACCGAGAGCCCGGAGGAAAAGAAGGGGAAAAGAAGCAAAACAAGAACAGCTGACAGCACGACGTCAAATTTCGCCTCTTACGATTGGTTGGTAGTGAAACCATGTTGTCGCTGGCTTCTATTTTCGTTGGTCGGCTTGTCATTCCTGTGTTTTAATTGGCTGTAAGGGCAGAGTGGGCTTTGTTTGTGTCTGTCCATTCATGTGGTGGATATTTGTCGAAAAAAATCAAAGGAGCAGGAAGGAGTTTTATTTTCTTCCAAAATTGTATGGGCCGAACGAAATGGACATGATTTGTTCAATGGAAGACCATAAAACAGGAAACAGGCAGTGTAATCACAATCCAATTGAATCTGATTCTGAAAACACTAACTCAAATAGTCTAAATCTCTTGTAAAACATAAAACAACTCGCCTATGAACAGTTAATAAATGGCATGTTACATAATCTTGGATGTTAAAGCCTAGCCTATATAATTTGAGATTAAATAAAAAAATAAAAAATAAAATTTCGAAGAGAAGAAAGTAATGAAGCAAGTACTGTTTACTTTGATAAAATAATATTAATAGGCATACATGTAGGCTAATGTTTGTAAGTATGTAACATTTTAATGAATAAATAATATAATACGTGTATTACACCTAGTTTACATGTATTTTTAATTGCTCAGTTTGATTTGGATACTTATTTTCATCTTTGATGGAATCCAACACAGCTTGAAGGCTGATAATAAATGTCATTCATATAAACAGGCTATTCTTGCCAATTTGTTGGTGAAAAATGGTTCCAATTGTATGTTTACTTCTGCAAATCGGTGATATGCATGTCAACTGTTTTTATTTATGTAAATGCATTTATCTTATTTTGAAGGTCTTTATTCCCTACATTAGCCACCAACATCCTTTTTTATCAATCTCATTCATAGCAACTGCCAGAAAGACTGTGAGTGTTCTTTTTCCATCAGGGCTAATGCATTTTCTATTTGGACAAAAAATGATGGAGGAGACCAGGAGGAGCCAGAGATTGCTGCCTTGCTTGATGGTCTCTGTAATGCCTTGAAATAACAAGACTTTAATGTTAAAACAGGCACATGTTCTTACAACACACTCTACCTATCTCTCTTTCACTAAAACAGACTCACCCTATCAAAAGTCTATACCCATGTTGTCAATTTCAACAAATATTTATCACTTAATTATCAGTGATTTATTCATTAGAACTCTACGAGTTGTTACATCTGTTCTCTGCAAAATAAAGTGACTCTTGTTGCGAGGGAATGTAGCTATTAGCTAACCAGCTGTTTCTGGTTTTAAAGGATTTCCCCTGAACAAAAAGGCACATTTCTGTAGCGATCCTTTCTGTCTTTCTGGCAAAAACAAGCACTTTTATCACATGCACATTAAAGCACATTTTCCTGTTTGACATGTTGCAGTGATAAAGCCAACTTAGTTGCTGCTGGCTAAAGTTGATCATAATGAGCCAAATCAATATCTTTGAACATATTTGTCATTTGGACCCCCACATTTTTTGATACAAGTGTTGTTACAAAAGGAACAATAAGAAAAAACTACAGGGACAAATCACATTATGCAGTAGTAGTTTTATTGACCATTGTTTAACAGTTAATCATAAAGTCCATCTTCATGTCCAGGAATCTACTGGCAGGTATTTTCCACTGAAGAGTGGTTGAAGTGTGGGTCACCCCCGCTGTGACAACCGGTTGTTTCTTAATGCTGAAAAACAACAGCACAAAATGTTAGAATTGATCCTCCACAGTTATTGATATTTTGAAGAAAGATAACAAATGTTGTAGCTGATAGCTGAGACTGGTTACCCTGTAGACATTAACAGAGTCAGTGCCTCGTTCAGAAAGTCATCAACATGAAAAAGTCTGCAACATTTTGGCTAACATGAGTAACTATTGGATTAACCTGACTCATAAACCACAATTATTCACCCGCCACAAGTCTATTTTTCTGCATCCATGTGTTTTCTGGTATGTTGCTACATATTCTGAAATATGGATTTTTCTGAACGTTTTTTAATGTGCTGTGAAATGTTTTCATGTGTGTTCTTTTATGTTCTGAACCATTACAGTTCTTCCTGAGGTATTGTGTTTCCTGAAAAGTTGCTGTGTATTCTAAAAATGTGTTTAATTACGTATTTATTTATTTATTAAAATGTTATTGTGATTTGGTCAATTCCAATGTGTTTTTGTCATTGTTTTTTTTGTTTTTTACTTTTAGGGCCACCTTGAAAAACTAATTACTATGATAGCTACATGAGTTTGCAGATTATTTCCTGTCAATTACAGCCAATCATATCAAAATACCACAAGGGTCAATGTCGATGATGACATTCATACTGGAAAGTAGTAATCATTTCAGTGAAAGTAAAACAACTTAACCTAGCTCATTTTTTTGGTATACAAGGCAGTACCTTAAAATCCCACATCACCATGGCTCCATCCAGACCAACACTGCTGTATTTCTCCACTTTGGCTTTCTCTCCAGCTACAACACACAGCTGCCTACGGGACACAACCAAACACATGTTTAAGGTTAACAAAAAACGTTTCCCTCTTGTTTTTCTATCAGTATCACCTCATCGGCTAGTCCCATACAACACAAACACACATTTCAAATCTGACCACCAGAGGAAGCACTGTCTATTGCCAGTGCAGTGTGTTTACATAAAGTTACATGAATACAGAAGAATGCTGATAGTTCTTAGAGGAAAGTGAGCTATACAGCTTTAACACATTATTATTAGGGCCGAAAGAAAGAGACACACAACCATCTCAGCAGACTGACATTTAAACGCCATTTAGAGACACCATATACCTTTACTTTCATGTCTTTGGACTGGTGGAAAAAGCCACAATAACTGAACAGAGAGAGATTAGGAATGACATGTAAATAAGCAAAGCAGGAGCTCTGTGTTTAATGATCTTAACCACTATAGGTTCCAAGAGCTGTACCTACACATTCAATTTGAAATCTGACAGCACATATTTGAGTGAGTCTGCTTAAATTAGCATTTCAATGTCCTCGGTATAGCAAAGGCCCTTACGTGATGCTGTTCTGGTGAATGGTACCAAGCTCATTACTGTCTTCTTCAATGGCTCTCTTGTCCAGGTTGCGGAAGTGTTGCATGGCTGACATGCTGGTCTTGGAGCTCTGCTTGGGGATGTCTAGCTTCTTGACAAACTCTAGAGCACCTGGACCCTTGTAGGTAAACTGGATAGGGCAACAGTCATGGCCCTGACCAGAAATAGTTTCAACAAAAGTACAAAGTTATATAGATATTCATGATTAAATATACATTTGTCTTCAAAATGTTGCAGTTTGAAAATTCCAGCTAACATAACCGCTTGGAAGACTGCATGACCCAGAGATTCTGTGTCAGGGTTGGAAATTAGCACCCCTCACTGCAAAAAAACACCCATATTTGGCGGGGGTGACAGGAGTTAATTTCCAACCCTGACACAGAATCTCTGGGTCATGCAGTCTTCCGAGCGACGATGTTAGCTGGAAATTTGCTCAACCTGGCGGGTAAATAAAAGTAGGTCTCTAAGACTTTCCACATATAGGCCAAGCTCATATACTTTTAATACACATATGATCTGCTCTCAGTCGAGCCTTTGAGGACATGGCTGTATTAGAAAACTCTTGCCAGCCTAATAATAAACTAAAATAACTAAAATAAACATGATGTTGAGCGTGACAAAGATCATGTCAATATTTTCTGTACTAGTTGAAACATTTCTTGATTACTGTAAGCCTTGATTTGACATTATACGTCCTTAAAAAATTAAGGTATAGTTTTTTTTTCACCAGTCACAGTGGCAGGTAGGCAAAAAAGTTATTTTCTAACCCTGTGTCTGTGTACAGAATTTAAAGGGGCAATGTGTCTGTGCATGTGCTGTGCAAGTTCAAATCCAATTTTCAAAAATGTTTGCATTATGAGAGATTCATACTGATATAATCTGTTAATAGAAGTGTTCATTCGCTTAGCAGATAATTTCATGCTTGAGGTTGAAAGGACCCACACACACACACACACACACACACACACACACACACACACACACACACACACACTCTGATAGTAGGTAGTTACCGCTGCAACGATCTCAGAGGGGCTGACATAGAGCACACTGAGCAGTGGCAGATAGTTAGTGGTCAGCTGGGTAACTCTGGGTGGAGAAGAATGAGAAAGATGTTGGTGGTATAATGTTAAAAGGCATCCGTTGAATTAAGTACAAAAACACATATGGATCAAGAGGTTCAGCCAGGGAAAAACAACGACAGATTAAAAAAAAAAGCAGATAGGCTGACTTAAAACTTCCAAGGTGGAAATAAAAATAAGAGGGAAAGATGTTTACATTTATGTATTTGTAAAAGACACTTTCTGAAAATGAAAGCTGGTAACGGTAACTCTGGAGAAAATAGCAAAAATATGATAGATGTTTACTGTATCCAAATTAAAAATGACACTCCACCCAACACATAAACAATCCTCCTCAGTACTGGTGTCACAGAATTCAACAAGAAAAGGTTGGATAAAGAAAATGTAGCAGACTGTCATCATCGCTAACTGTAAACATCTACCTTTCTTTGCCAGTCAGATGTTAGATTATTTTTCTTTATGTTGTCAGCGCATTTGTTTTATTGATTGCTTAAAGAGAATTTAATCAAGAATGACTAAAATTGCTTTTGAAAGTGCCTATACCCTGGCTAGAAAGGTCATATTTCATCTCAGTTTTAGCTGAATATTACTGATTGTACTGATGTGGTTTTACTGCTGAAGCACTCACTCCTTTCCTTGGGTGGCATCAGACACACCGATGCTGCTGTTGTGAGCCACCCAGGCCAGCTGGTCTCCGCTGGGGGAGAAGGAGACACTGTGCACCCAGCCTCCACAGTCCTTATGCTCCAGCAGCACCTCTCCAAAAGGCATCTTGGCCCCCCAGGCAGTGGGTCCAGGCTTGTCCTCGATGTCCTTAATGTAAGCTGAGAAAACCCTTAGAAAAAAAAGCATGAAAACATCTAGTTTAAGCATTTGGCACAACATTGGTTTGATTACTATGCAGTTGGGTTAGCTGCTTGAACTGATAAAATGTTATTGATATTTGCGAAAACAAAGTCTATTTATTTATATTCCTTTGTAACTATTTTGAACCTTCCTCTTCTTCCAGAGTCTGACTTGTTTCGTCATTTCATACAAACTTTTTAGTTCCAATAAGGGATGGTAATAGTAGAAATATATAAAGATATGGTACTTTTAAACTTTCTCTCTTCAAAATAATTCCAATGTGCAATGATGTAGTTTCCTATTTGCAATTAGTTTTCTTGCTATTTGTGTTTTTTTTGCTAACTGTTTCTAAAACCAAGACTCCACTCTGAGTTCCATCTATCTATCACTGTTTTGTTAGTTTCCTCACCTGCAATTAAAGTCTGCAGACCCAGCTGCTAGAAGGATATTGTTGGGGTGCCAGTCCAGGCTCAGGACTGTGGAACGAATAGACTTCTTGATGTGTTTACTCAGCCACCTGAAAGGAAAAAAGAATAGTACAAAGCTGCATTTGAATGTGCTCTGCAACTGTGATAAAGGTCAATGTATCAGGTATGTCTAGAGTGTGTTTTAGATTTTTAGAGTAGTGTGTTGACTTATTCATGGACATCCTTACCTCTGTCACTCTGGAGGTGAAAAAGTCTTTGCCTTTCAAAAGTCAGTGTCAGTTGAATTTCTATTCACTTCGACTCAATAGTTTTGATTTGATCATTAATAGCTTACCAGTCATTCTCCTTCTCAAAGTAGCAGACAGAGATAATGCTAGCTCCACTTCCCAAGGCAAACTTGTTCTCTAGTGGCGACCACTTCACACAGCTGGCTGCACGGTTGATGCGCACCAGGACCAAGGTGGGCTTCCATGTGCCATCCTTCAGAGTCCACACATAGGCGTTACGGTCAGAGGCACAAGTCACTATGCGGTTGGTTTCTGGGGCCCAATCGATGCCTGTGGAAGTTATTGTGAAGCTATCATCAAATATCAAAGGATCCGTAAAAGATGACATGCTTCCAAGTGGACACATTTTTCACTGTTGCTGTCAATAAATCTATTTTACATGAGATGTAACCACTTTCACTAATAGTGACAAATCCAAAAAAGAGATGCTTGTTTTAAGTTATGATGTCGAAACCACCAACTAAAGGATTTAGGTTGACACATCAGGGTCATTTGAACTTTTTTTATAGTATAATGTAAAAGCTTTATATTACATTAAAACAATGGTTGACATCAAAGTGGTGACACACACTTGCATCCCACCTCTATTCCAGTCACTGTTGGCTGATCTTAAGTTCACATACCTGTGATTCGTCCACTGTGCTCAGTCAGCTCATGGATCTTGACCCACTCTTTGCCTTTCTTCTCATAGATGTTCGCCACATTGTTGTTAGGACTCACTGCAATCTCTGTAGAAAAATGTGTGTGCCCAAAAGCAATTCACTGTAACAAATACTATACATTGAATACATTATATTTGGTTTTAATGACATTTTTGGAAATAATAATAATGTCATTTTTACATCTGAGCGTTTCGTTGACTGATTACTGTGTTGGGCTGAGAAGGTATTTCCACCACAGTAAAACAAAGAAAACAAAAACTTGCTTTGAGTATCAGTTAGTTGGCGTGACAGAGCTGCTTGCAGGGCTATAGACTGATGTTTATATATTTTTACTTGACCAAGTCTTCAACCTGCAGTACTAACTGACAGCTGTCTTTGATTATGGAATCCTGAAGAGTTAGCCCTGATTTATAAAAGGAGGGCATGCACTCCACTGCTCAACAATAACTGTAGTGTCAGGATTATAAACAGCTGTGGAATCCTGCAAGTAAAGGTTGGTCCCATGCTGAAGAAAGGCACTTAATGTCCATTTCCTGTATCGATAATCAAATTCCCTAATGCTGTCTGTAATGCAGCTCTAATGCTTTAGAGGAGGGAGAAAATGTATCTGCAGTCTGGATTGAAATTCAGCCTTTATCGAACCCATATAGGAAAGAATAGAGGAATGCTTTATTATTATTACTTACTTATTACTGCCAATATGTAAACAAAGGTATTTGTTACACAAAAAGGAAATGTTGCTAGGTGGTTTTGTTTGCTGGTTCACTTACGGGACCTGTCTTTGTTCCAGGTGTGGCAGGAGAGCGGCTCAAGGCCAAAACTGTAGAGTGACATGCCTGAACAGAGGCTGACAAGGCCGCTGGAATGTAGCTGTAGTCACGGCTATGTGCTGCTGCAGGTCTCAGAATGAGATCAGGGATTGACTGTGTGGAGAAACACACATTTTAAAAGTTGACACGGCAATATGTGGGTTTGAGTTGAAAGATAGAAACAATGACTTATACAGTTTATTGCTCTATTATATCATTATAAATGCCCTAATTAAGTGAACTTGCACCAGATATACTGTATGTGACTTGGGATCATTGTCTGAAGAAAGTGTGTGGACATGATCTCCACAACTCTTCCTTTAACTCATTGTTAGCTACATAAGTAATAGAAGATAAGAACATACCTTTATCAGGTGTGGTCTAACTGCACAAACTTGCTTGAACTGTTTCTTCTGTATTTTCTCCCTCTCTTGATAACCTTGTCCTAATCTTGAGTCTTTTGATACAGTGGTGTTGTTTTATTATTTCTACTTTATAATCGAACAGAAGGAGAGATGTTACTACTTCTTAACAGAAGAAACCAAAAATAATAACTGAGAGGAAACATACATTGGATAAGAAGGAGTATCATGTTTGTAATGGAATAGTACGTTTCTAAATAGCTGAAGTTGGAAAGCAGAAACCAGTTTTACCAGTAACTAAACATTCAGTAAGCTGACTGGGTGTGAAAAAAACAGCAGCAGCTGAGTTTAATTCTTACCTTTGCTGTATTATTTAGGTCAAGTTTGATTGGAGGTGGTGGTGAGAGGTGCAGGGCTGTATCCGTGGACTCTGGGCAGTCAACACGAATGGAGCTGTGCAGTCGGACTGAGCTGAAGGAAGTGGCTGTGGTATTACTGAAATGAGAGACAGAAAGGTGGGTGTGTCTGCTAGGCTGTTAAGCAGGCTAGCAGTTTGAGCAAGTTTGTTATGAGCCACATCTCATTGGCTTTCATTGTGGGGGCAATAACCACTAATGTAAATACGAATTCACACAAAAACAACAAGGTCATTGTAATAGCTTGAGAGCGCATGTCTTCCATCAAGACACTGGAAGTAGTGAGTTTCTGTTTGCTTTCAGTCATGTATCTACTGTATTTAGCCTATAAAGAATAGTGCTGCAACATTGGTTTAGTAATGCAACTTTGGTAATTAAACTGTCAGATGGTTGATCCATAATTATATTGCTTCTGTTTAATAAATTACAGAGTTACAAATGCCCATTGTAATCTTCAATGTCTACATCTAAAAAGCAATACAGCAGGCCAAAATCAAGGATAGTTTTGCTAAATTACAATAAGCTATAATGAAGTGAAATAAGTCAAATGTAATTTTTATTTAAGAATCTGTAATAAACTGGATCCTAATTAGTATTTTTAATGGAAAAATAAACAATTCATTTTTATTTTATAATTTACAAAACATTATTCTGTTGAGTGAATAAATAATATTCTGACTTATTATATTGGGTTTAAAATGAATAAACGACAATGGGTGTTATAATTAAGAACACCTATCACTATTCCAGAGTATGCATCTCTGGTAAAACAAGAAGGAATTTAAGGACCTCTCTTGCTTTAAAACATTTTTTTTCGCACTCAGTAGTTCCTTATGCAACAGTGAATATTTACCAACAATAAAACATTATGGAAAGTAAGTTTACAAATTCTTAGTTAATTCATGTTAATTCAATTCTTACATCCGAAAAGAAGTAGGAATAAGTATAAACATATTCAACTCCCCCTCCCCCCCTTCTCCATTTATAATTAACCATTCACTTAGCTGAGCTATATACAAATCAACACATTTATTCATTGTCTTAAACTTCTCAAACTCATTTAAACTGTTGCGCTAATTTTAGCTTAAAGAAATGACATAACATCTGTGTTTTAGCAGCCATGAAAACCTCGACAAAGAAGAAACAGGAAGTCACCCAGTTCTGTATCCTGTGATGTTGAGGACACAGTTTTATTGTGAAAGAGTCGAGGAGGAAGTGATGGTGATCCGCAATCAAGAAGAAAAACAAGGAACCCTCGCGTCCTCTTACATTTGGTAAGGATTTTCATGTAGTTAACGATGTGTATAGTTGTTTGTTACACGTAAAAAAAAAACAGTTTCTCGAAGCTTGGCGCTCTTTCATCTGAGAGGTTGAGTTTTTGCTATTGTTTTAGTAGCATTGCGATGCTAACAGTATACTCGCTAGTTTACAGCAATTCATGAGCAATCCTAAGATTTTGTATGTTATTACAAACGCAGGCGCTTAATTCACAGACAATAAGTAGCCTAAGTATTGTTGGATAGGTACATTGATACATTTCAAGGTTAAGTTAAATAACATGGAGAAAAAAAACGTCAGCCAGTTTTCTTACATCACTCAGAATTTCCAACAAATTACTCTTCGCTTCCATATTTAGTCAACTCGATATCGTGGACGGATTAAAGTTCTGGACTCGGACGAGTTTGCAGTATTAAAGTAATGTAAACTTGACGAAGCTGAAGTAATTTCCGATTCAGAAATGAAGGGGGAAGATCTTGAAAACTTACTGAAGGACGGATACGCTTCATTACACCCCATACTGATGCGAAAGTGTTTTTTTTAAGTTTAGTAATGCTTACAGACAGTGTCAGTTAGCACCTACAGTGGATTTTCAACTAACAAATGAAACTGCAGTGGAACAATGTCAACATACACTTTTCTTTTACATTTATGTTGTCTGTTGGTGCAGCTTATTGGAAAACCCGTGCTCACACCCTTACAGAGTGTTTAAATAGCACTTACAGGATCCTCTAGGCCTGGTCTGTTTGCTTTTTATTGAAAGTGACAGTACATACACTTGTCTAGCCTCTTTATTAGTAGAGTGCTATTTGTACCTTTAAATTAAACCCCAAGTCCAGAGTAAACCGTAACTGTTGCATATCAATACAGAATGGCAGTAGACATTTTCCTCATTTGTCTTTGTGTTTTCTGCCCATGTCCTTCCATGTCACCAGACAAATATGGCATCAAACAGTGCAAACGGTGATGAGGAGCGTGGCCTTCAAGTGTGTGAACAGTATGTCCAGAATCACAATGTCCAGCAGCTGCTCAAGGACTGCATCATCCAGCTGTGCACAGCCCGGCCAGACCGGCCCATGGCCTTCCTCAGAGACTACTTTGCAAGACTAGAAAAGGTTAGTGCTGCTGACAGCATGTTACTCCTGGTTCAAGAAAATGTTAAGTGTAATCCATCAGCTGTGTTCACTCTGAGAACCACATTAAGAAGCTTGATCTATTAAAAAACTGGGTGCTCTAGTAAACAATTTCATTTAAACACGTTTGTTTTATACAGATGATAGGTATTGATGATGAGTGAATATCTTGAAGCGAACTAGCTTCTGGTAGTACTAGAGACCGGTTGCTCAGGGCATCTGAGCCTGTGCGAACTGACAATTTAGATTTTCTGATTTAGACTGCTATTTTTTAACTGGCTCTATTTATTTTAAAGACCTTTATAAAAACACATTGTTAATGAAAAGTGATTTTTTTTATTTGCTCTCTTAGCCCTCTCCAGATTTCAATGAATATTTGATTTGAGTTCTTTATTTTGAACATGTGAAAAAGAGAAATGAACCTGCAACAGTTTATAAAAAGTTGTACCTACCAACAATGAAACATTATGGAACTTACGTTTTCAAAATCTCAGTTAGTAAATTCAACACATACCATCCACTCAGCTGACCTATTTATAAATAAAATCAACACATTTATTCATTTTCTTAAACTTGTCCAAACGCCTATGACCAGAGACATTCCTTGCCACAATCAGTCAGGGTTGATGTTTTCCTCTTTACCTTTGTCCAACTCCCTTTAACTTGTGCGCTAATGTTAGCCTGGCTGTTGTGCTGTTTTTTGTCTCAGCTCCACTCTAACCTTCCAATGAATGCATTCAGTTTAGTTGGTGATACCACAATAGACTTATCTGACACTAAAGTCTACAAAATGTACTCCATAGTTTTTGTTTTGTGAATAACCAGTTGAACAGCTGGGAAAATCCTCCTACCTAATGGTTATGATAAAGTTACCAAATGTTTAAGAGCTTCAAAACTTTGTATCAAACTGATAGTGAGCGAGAGATACTTAGCCAAATCAACAACACCTTGAAGGTCTCTTTTTTTTTGAGTAAAGTGTAAACACAAATTTGGCTCAGTTTGAAACTATGGAGGAAAAATTACAGGTAGGTAGTCTCAGGTGTTGATTTGTTTACTTGCTGCACTGCAGGAGGAGGCCCAGCAGATGGCTGTGCAGCAGAGGTCTAGGTTACGCTCCGACTCCCGGGAGGATGAAGTGTCTCCACCCATGAACCCTGTGGTGAGAGGTCGGAGCCGGAGAGGAGCCATCAGTGCTGAGGTGTACAATGAGGAAGATGCTGCCTCCTATGTCCGAAAGGTCAGTGTCAGTTTGTTTTCACACACATCTCTTCATACTAAACACTGATGTTGTCATTCCATTAGACTACACATAGCATTGATATAAAGGCAAATATTCTCATTATAATGTTGTGTAGCGGACTCTGTTGCTTAGTCAGCTACTTCCGTGTTGTTTATTTACATCACGTCTTACCTCAGGAGATCCCCCTCCCCTCTGACAGGGATAGCGCAGCCCTCCCGCTGTGAGGAGCATATGTGAACGGCTAGGTCGGGAGAATCTCTGGAGAAGTCCTCCTGTAAATATCTAGATATTATCCGGAGTACATATGTGAAAACGGCTTACGACTGACTGTAAAGTTTTTGTTTCATCTGTAGTGAACCAAAAAGGTTAAGGTTACAGTAGAGACTGTTACCCTTAAACACACACACACACACACACACACACACACACACACACACACGTAAAATCTTTTTACGACTCAAACATTTCAGCATACCCTGGTATATGAATAACAACTTCTTTGTTCCCATGACTAAATACTAAAGATGCAGTAGTAGTGAATAGAGGTAGTGATCATTTGTCAAGTAATAGTAAAAAAATATGTATTTATTTAAAGTAAGAACAAAAGATGTTCAAAACTATTAGATCCTGATCTGTCCTATGTATCAGTGTGTTCACACGAGGCCTCTGTTAATGGGGAGATCAGGGATAGTTTTGTTGTGGTTGGATCACTGCTGTATGTACAGTATAAACTCGTATGGAATATATCTGTACTCAAAAAAATAACTGTGTCATTTACAAAAGCTTCTGGGTGACAACACTGGGGAGGTGAGCTGCCTCTCGTGTCAGAGAACAGGGTTTAAGTTTGAACCTAAAGTTGATCAGCAGTCTCATGCTGTTGTAAGAGGAAACAAATCAGTTATCTCTTTTTTGGAGTGATAACGATATTGTTTTTGTTTCTAGTATATGCAGGTGTGGGGATAGCAACATTGATTTTTGTGTAGTTTATGGTTGTCCTAATATTCACTGAAATGGACCTGAAAATCTTAAGAACTTTTTTCTTCTAAGGTCATTCCAAAAGACTACACGAGCATGGCTGCCCTGGCCAAAGCCATGGAGAGGAACGTGCTGTTTGCCCACTTGGATGACAATGAGAGGAGGTGAGGGCACCGATATGTTAAATCATTCTTTTAGACTCATTTTCAAACAGCTAAACAAACTTGTTTTCTGCCTACAGTGACATTTTTGATGCAATGTTTTCCATCAACTACATCGCTGGAGAAACAGTCATCCAACAAGGTGAATTCTTACACCATATCTGTGCAGATTGTTGCGTTTTACTTCTGGACATTCTTTCATGGAACTCCTCGTTGTTTCTGTTCCAGGTGACGAGGGAGACAACTTCTATGTTATCGACCAGGGGGAGATGGATGTAAGCTCTCTTTCTTTGCCGTTTTTAGCTCCAGTAAACATTTGCCTGTCTTAGTTAAGATTCAGTGGTTAAGTGTGGGGAGTGTTCAATGATAACTTTTACATTATAATAACTTATAGTTGAGAGAGTTAAGTATTAAGTAAGTTAAGTATTCTACCTAGAACTAATATGTTAGCCTAGTGCTTTAAAAGTTTGTTTCATTAAGTTCTGCTGCCCACAAGAAAATATGTATTCCCCAAAGATGATTTAGCAGCAGCCGTCCCCCTTCTAAGTTTTCCACCGGTATGGTCTGTATTTGTTGTGACCAGAGAAGGTAGGCGGTTTTAAGGCACCCCCACACAGACATTTTGGTTGCCCCTCGGTTTGCCAGGAAATGGCAAACCTACAGGTGTTGCAGCGATGGAAGCAGGACATGCTAGGACTGATTCAGATATAACTGATTCTACCCGACCTAAAAAGCCTCTGTCTTTTTCTAATAACTCCACGACCAGAAACGTGCTCAAACTAGGATTAAAAACTCCATTTAAAAATGGAGATAGGTTAGAATGCAGAATGGTTTCAAGACTGATGAAGAGCTGGTCTGTGACATCATGGCAACCTGCGTGCACATCGGGAGGAGACTGCTCTCTAATGTTTTCAATTTGGACTGCAGTATCAATTTTAAACACTAGGTGTCAGAGTTACATTTTGCTCTTCAACTTCAGCAATCGGAACAATACTTTGCCATTTTTTTCTTTATCGAATATGTTGTAAATAAAAAATCATTAAGCCCTTATGATTCGTTTATCTGATGTTGAATAGAATAATGAATAATGCTACAGCAGCTCTTACACTGTGCTTCAATAGCTCTGTTAATGTGGGCTGTGTGAATGCTTTTACCTGTTAACATGAACTCTGAACTCAAAAGCAAAAGGTTCTGTGACCTACAAACACTGCTCAGGAGTACAGTGTGGCCCACCACCTAGACTAGCTTAATTTTGTCATGATGCAAGTTTAGTGGAAGGACTAACAAAATGTATTTGACTCTCTTCTCCCCCCCTAGGTTTATGTAAACAATGAATGGGTGACAAACATCAGTGAGGGAGGCAGTTTTGGGGAGCTGGCTCTGATCTATGGGACACCTCGTGCAGCTTCAGTTCGGGCAAAGTCTAATGTCAAGTTGTGGGGCATAGACAGAGACAGCTACAGGAGAATACTGATGGTAAGGTGTGGAGTCCTGTTAGATAACAAACATAAGATTGTATGTTTAACTAAAACAATTGGGATTATGTTTTTTAGGGGAGCACCTTGAGAAAGCGCAAGATGTATGAGGAGTTTCTCAGCAAGGTGTCCATATTAGGTGAGAACAAAAGTTTTTTTTTTATTGTGTTGATTGGCTGGATTATAATGTCTTGGAAAAGGAACCTGTCTTTGACATATTCAGGAATGTGTGTGTATATAACCTAAAGTTGCTCCTTTACAGAGTCTTTGGAGAAGTGGGAGCGGCTGACGGTGGCGGACGCCTTGGAGACGGTGCAGTTTAAAGACGGACAGAAAATCGTAGTGCAGGGAGAGCCTGGTGATGAGTTTTTCATCATCCTTGAGGTACGCATCAACTTCTGCAAGCACTAGTGAACCAGAATGAGTGAGTGCAGGACACATAAGTGGAAGTTCCTGAAGAGGATTCTGTCATTGAATCACTTCAGGTCAGATTACCAATGAAGAAGAATTCTGTTTATTAAGTATCGTGCTACATGAGAAGAATGTTGTTACTTCTTTTTTTTTTGGGGGGGGGGGGCTTCAGGTATGGGTCATCTGTTCCATTTGACTCTTAGAAATGCTGAAAAAATGGTCACAATCACAGAATTTTATATTTTAGGGTGGTTTCACACTTGGGACCTGGGCTGGATCCGATTATACTTGACCCCAAAGTCTGGTTCATTTCACCAGTGTGAACACAAACGTACCGTACTCGTAACGTACTCGGGTGCTGTGCCAGAGTCCGCTTGAAGATGTGGTCTCGGGCTCGATTCATGTGTACTCGAGTACAGTCTGCGGGAGATTAAAACACAACTGTGGACTGCTATATCATAATAATAATTCTAAATGGCTCCTGTTGCTTCAAAACCGTTGTATCCGTGCAGCAGGGGAACATTTCATCCTCTGAGCTGCACAGTGGATGTGTGTTGTTAGTGTCTCAGAAATAACAAAAATATCCAGTTTGCAGGATGGACTTAGCCAGCGTGCGGTTGCCATGGTTGCTTCTTCTTCTTTCTACTTTTTGGCAGATTTGCAAACCAACTTTGTGCATGTGCCACCTGCTGTATTGGACTGTGTACATACACAAGTGTAATCGGGTACGGAACGATGTTATTAATGTGAACGTAGAGCGGAAGGGGAGAGGGGTAGGGTCAGCAATCGTGATGGGGCATGGTACGAAACAATTGTGACTGATGTGAAAATGCCCTTCCATTTTTTATTTGCTAAATGCAGACTGTATTGACAGGAATTTGTGAAATGCTTTTGCCATGTTAAGGTTTTAAGAGCATGCTCTTGTCTTCTATAAACTCCTTTTTCAGAGTGTGATTTCACAACAAAGCCATAACAAAGCTCCCCCTTCATTACAGCTTTGTACTTTTCTGTTGATTCAGCAGCGTCATAATATTGGTGTCCCAGTCTGTGACCGACAGTGTTGCAGAAGCGCTACGGGTAAACCAAAAACAGGAGCTCAAGATACACACACACACACACACACACACACACACACACACACACACACACACACACACAGAGCGCTGCTCTCCCCCGCTAGCTCTGCCGATCCTTTCTCAACCCTGTAACTCATCTGTTACTACCTTCAATGTCAGAACAGAGATGGGGTGTGAGAACTTGGGTTGTGTAGTCATCAATACTTTGTCTTTGATTACGAGACTTGATCTTTTTTGTGATGTGTTGTTAAAGATTTCTTTATTGTGCTGTTAGGGCACAGCCGCTGTGCTCCAGAGGCGGTCCGGCGATGAGGAGTTTGTGGAGGTTGGAAGACTCGGATCATCAGATTACTTTGGTAAGACCCTCACACATCTGACAACTACAGTACAGGCACTATCACACATCTTATGAAGACATAGTGACAGGCATTATTTTTGAAAGTAAGAATTAGATAATGATGATAATACAGTTTAAGGCCTCCCCTTAAAAGTTTACCCAAGATAATTCTCAAATGGACCCTTGTGAGAAGCTGAATCGACAGTTTGTTAGTCTCAGATTAAAAAAAGTGTCCTTTTTCACTACGGTTTTACCAGGTCAGTAAATAATCCCTGAACCTTGTATAGGTCAATATAAGGCGTGAAACCCTGAATAAATTGGTTTGAATGTATTGATGTCAGACTGACAGAGAAACTTACTAAAAACTAATAAAGAAACTTCCCATCATGAGGCTAATGCAGGCTCATTCAGGAAATTGGTGCATGTTGCTGAAAAAAAAGCCAAATCTACTTCAGCCGACTAAATTCCCAGGCACTGCCTTACTGAAGTTGAAACTGCTCACACTGATCATGTATACAGAGTTTAACTGCTTAATTTAATAAAAAATAGGATAGACTCATTGCTTTGGCATTTCTGTTACAAGTATTGCATTTCTAATTCACTTGCAGGGTCCAGGGTCTTCACATACCTTTTCTCTTATGGGATTTTTTTTTTTTTTTCCAAAACTTGACACTCTATTTATAACTATTTGTCTCTATTTGCCGCCCACTAACCGGCCTACTTCTTACTGGATAACCGAGTCAGGTTTAGCCAGCACATTGAAATGATGTCAAAAAAGAGTTTTCTTTACATAATGACAAAAGTAGAGGCCTTTTATCTAATAAGAAACTGACGGCTACATCCGGCAGGGTTTATGCAGCTAAACTCCTCAGACCAGCTGGAATAATATTAACAGTGAAGTACCGCCCCCTTGAGCTGGTCTTTGGTGAGGGAAGAAGCAGTAAATCACTGATAATCATGATATAGATGTTGAAATGTCAATTATATGGTAATCTTCTTGAAAAAAGTTCTATAAATTCTTCCATAAAATCATTATAGACGATGGCAGCACATTGTTGAACCAAATTCTGAAATGTGCATTAATTAATTGCATTAATCTTTTGAGTTGCAACAGCTTTGTTCTTAGCACCAGGAGACTGTATTATAGGGCTTATACTAAAATAACAACCTGCTCTTTTGTAATGTTAAAAGACAATGAGTAAGGTCTTTTACCTGCTTTTTGTAAAGTGTCTCGAGATAACACTTGTTATGAGTTGACGCTATACAAATAAAGATTGATTGATTGATTGATACTATTACTACACATTTACATTTACACTAATACACTTATGTATTCCACTGTAAAATTAGCTTTACTACTACCAAAAATCACAAATAACAAAGCAGGACACCATGGGCAGGCTGATTTTTCTGTGAGAACTTCTTTCTGATTGTTTGTCTTTCCTATGACTCACAGGTGAGATCGCCCTGCTGATGAACCGGCCCCGTGCTGCCACCGTTGTTGCGTGCGGACCCCTCAAGTGTGTCAAACTGGATCGTCCGCGGTTCGAGCGAGTCCTCGGTCCTTGCTCTGATATCCTGAAGAGAAACATTGAGCAGTACAACAGCTTTGTTTCCCTGTCTGTCTGAGCCTGCCAGTAAGCTCCTTTGCCTCTACTGCAGGTCCTAGTATCGCAAATGAGCTTTATTTTCTACTCTCTCTCACATACAGTATGTTACCACGCCTTCACATCACTTCACATCTGTTACAGCTATTACTCTCTTTTATCATATTTATTTTCTTTTCTCCGTTTGTACTTCAAAGCCTACATTTGTTTGTGTGACGGAAAGTTGTGAGGTCAAAGGTTAAATACCAGTATCGAATAGGTGTTTGCGTACGATTTAATGATGAAGATGAGATAAGGTAGTGTATGAATTATGAACTGTGTGTTCACACTTTGATCACTGTAACAAATCATTAAGATCAATCAAATGGTAACTATTATACAGAAATTGCTATTACATGATATTTAATTATCTAGACAAAAGCAGAGATCTTTTATGGTCACACTGAAAATATTGTAGATGAAACAGCTGTCGTAGGATCTAAAACAAACCTGGAAATATATTGTCACACTATCAATTATGCCGTATAAAATCAGAAAGATTGACAGTGACATTATGATTAGATAATGTAGCGGAGAGAAGAGGGGGCAGCTCAGGTTTCATCTTCAGACTGGACTTGATTCATGTGATTCCAGTTTGGTTTTATGTAAAATAGCTTAATCTGTAGAATAAATTAGCAAGAGTCCAGTTACAATAATCCTCCTCTCCCTCCTGCCTTAGGGCACCGGACCTGTATCTTGGGTTCGAGCCCCTTACCAATTTGACCTAATTATAATGAAAATGTCAAATATTCCTTACAGATTGTATTTATAGGCTTTTCTTAGGTTACTCAAAAGTGGAAGTGTTGCCTTGACCATTGAACATTTTGGCACATCACATGCCTTCTACCTATTAAAAAGAAGTGTAAACTCCACAGTAGCATCATGATACTTTGTATAGCAGCGTGGCAATTCACACTTTATTGGTGATTTGAAAATTAGATTTTTCTTCAGTTTTACATAAACAGACTAAGTGTCTGCAAAATGTACGCAAGCTAACATGAAATTCAGCCCTGTTGAATTACAGACAGCTGAATTTACTATTAGATAGCATACCTTTTAGTTTTATGCTGAATGATGAGGTTTTTAAGGTGACACAAAATGGGTTGTATGTGTTTGTTGCTGCTCTTTGTGAAGTTAATTTGAACCTTTTGGCTAGTTTTTCCATCACTTAGGTTTGAACTGAAATATCTCAGCACTATAAGATACATTATCTTAAAAGATTGACCATCCATGCCGTCCTCATGGTTTTACTGTGATCCTCCAACACAATGATCATCAAACTTATGACCAAATATCTGCAAAACGTGACATTTCCAGAATCCTTAGCTGTACTGTGTGCTACTAGCTATTTTAATCATGCTATTCTAAGATTGTTAACATTTGCAAAACATCGTAACTATTTTGGCAAGCCAGTATTAGCATTAGTTAAAAGCATCTTTGTCAAACTGTCCTACTATCTATGCAAAGTTAGGTTTTTCTTTTAAATATTTAGTATAGACTAGATAGAACATCTTGAAGCATTTCACCAAAACATTCTTTCCACTTAAACATGGTTTCTTTATATTTCTTTTATTATTTATACATAACTAGTGAATAACTAATGAACATCAACTCTAACAGGGTTTAAATATGCTTACCTCCACATGTTACCAGAGCCAGCTTAAAGGGAAAGTATGGAAAGTAGGGATAATATGAAGATAATAATAACCAAAAAGGTCAACACTGGCTTTTAAATAAAGTGAGTGTGAGGGGCTTACATATCAACAGCAGCCAATAGACAAAAAACATAGCAAATAAAAATAGAGAACAAAGATTCAGTGGTAATGATGAAATGTAGCGCCCACTCTTATTAAACTTGTATAAAGTCATTTATTTTTAGCTTTTAATAGACAGTGACAACAGGACAGGTTACCTGGCGTGCAAAATAAAATCTGATATGTTCACTTGATTTGCATTTGTATAACTTTGATTTATTTAGGAGACTCTGAAAGGATAATACATGATATCCATGACTTATTTTCATTATTATGCCTTTTGTATCATAATTCAGGACAAATTGTACAGCGATGCTGTGTCTTATTGTGAGGAAAGAGTCTAAACTTCTTTTCAGAGCAGGGACATAGATGTGAGTGCACATTTCAATTAGCCCATGAGACATTCTTCACTAAGTAGCAAGCCCTGAAAAATGATAATTCTAAAGAAAAATGTACATAGTTACTGAGGACATCGTAAAAACAACAGCAAAAGTCCTCTTTATCAAAATATATATTTTAAAACTCAATTCACACTCATGGCGTGCGTTTGTATGTCTAACATTTTTCAGTTTTTTTTTTTTAACATTCTCATTTATACTAGACATTTACTTAGTTTTCTTTTTGCTCTTTGAGTTAAGTGGCCTTTTAGGTAAATTCTCTTCATGTTGGGTTTGCAGAGCATGTTAAAAAAACTCACTTCCAAATGTCTGATTATCCCTGTAACTCTGCTGACATTATGTAATCCTTTATTGTTCTATAAACAGCTCAGATGTTTTTCGAAATTAATGATTAATCTGTTACACATTTTTTATATATACAGAACTATTTGATCAAAGGGGAAAAGGTTATATGCTAAGCTAAAGCTTTACTTTCACAACAGAGCTGGTGCTAAGTTTGATGCTGAGATTTTCTAGATTTCAAAGTCATAAAATGGAAAAAGAAGGTGTTAATAAGATTTGCAGTAGTAGGAGTCCTTTTGAAAGTGCTTATTGGTGCATGGCACCCACCAGTGGAGAGCATCGACCAATGGGCCACTCTTGAAATACAGGGTGTTTAAAATTCAAGAGCTAGGTAAGGAGGGAGACAGGAAAATCAAATGTGTTGGTTAGCTTAGGATGCAAAACGGCTGGTTAGCTGGTTAGCGTGAACTTCCTGCACTCTGGTCGGTACCTTTCAGACTTCATTGTCATGGTGACTAGATGAAAAACTTCATTGGAACTCTTAATAAGTAGACACCCTGGAATTTAGAGTGAGTCATCAATATTTTTTTACATGCTTTAATAAAATGACACACTGTTGTATGCTATTCAGAAACATATAAAACACTTTTTAAACACTTGCATTTTATTGGCATGTGTTTTCATGATGTACAGCAATGTCTCTGATTTATTATGTCTTAACTCAGTGGGATCACACCTATCTGCCCTTTGAATATTCTGGTGTCATTTTAATTCGATACTGTATTTTCAATATTAAGTGTACATTTCTTTTTTACTTTTATCCTCTCAATATCATAGTGTGGTGTTTTTGTTTTTTTGTTATAAAGATCACTGTGCTCTACTCAGTCAGACCATCACTCTTTGTAAAAACTGAAAGAGCAGCTTTCTTTCCTACAGTTTTTTGTGCCTTTCCTCAGATTGATTACAGTGTGACTTTTTGATTTCTCTGTAGGATGTTCTTACAGCAGTTAAATAGCAATAAAGAGATCAGTGTTTTTATTGAGTCTTTGTTTACATATCCTCACCCATGTCACATATTAAAAGGTAATCATACTCTTTCAACTGTGTATGCACATCTTGAACTTTCAGTCACGAATCAGCTGTTTAAAAGACCTTAAAACGTCCTGGATCTCACATCGTAGAACTTTTACGCCCTTCTTTGGAGTTCAGTATCAGTTGTTCATAAGTCCTTAAAATATTCCTCATATTTAATAAATAACTGACATAATTTAACTTTCCCCACAGAGACCCAGTTTAAAGTCAGCTTATTACAGGTTAGCGTTTGTGTTCCCAGCATGCAACATTCACATCAGAAACATGTAGTTGTTAACTGGTCTTGAGAATGTATAGCACTTTTCTAGTCTTCTGACTACTTGAAGTGCTTTTACACTGCATGTCACACCTAACCATACACACACTATGGCAGTCAGTATTTCCCCTAGGTTTACAGCGTTGGGGGGGGCACGCCGACAGCTGTCCTGTTCTATTGGAAAGGTATCCTTAAATGACTTCTTTCCCGGATTTCCCACTCTATCCACTATCCCATCTCTACAATAATAACAATAAAGGCCCAAATGTTTTTTTTTTGGTTTTTTTCACTTGACATTCAAGGGGGGGGGGGGCAACATTTCATCCATCCAATGAAATGCTGCCAACACTGAGGACTTGTCAGATTAAGTAAAGTTTTTCATCTAATTCATTAGTCTAGCACAATCATAATTTGAAATTTGCACAATTGTTCAGCTCTTTAAAGTTGTTTTTCTCTAGGCAAATTGGAATGAATGAGCTAGAGTGGAGAGGTATCATTAAAATATCCTAAAATCTTTACAAAATTTTTTATTCCACATGCATGTTGAGACACAAAAGGTATGAACGCTTACATCGGTCATAGGATTTGATTCACTAAAGCAAAAATGATTTAGACTTTTGGCATGAGTCTTCAGAGCAACAGGAATGGCCAACCAACTGCCTTATTTACTACTATGTTATATTTCTTAAGCATACAACATGTGGGCACTTGTGTATGTACTCCTTATGTCACTCTTTTCGCTGTATGGACTTGAAACTCTCTCATTCCGTTTTCACAGACTAATTTGGTGCTCAGAATCACTTTACTTTTCTGATAGCAGAAAAACCTTGGATTAAAGACAAAGATTTAGAGGTCTTTCAATATGAATCTCCATAAAAAAAACTTTCTCAGCCAGGAGTCAAGGAGCATTTCCCACTAGGAATCCCTTAACTGCATTTGAGAAAATTATTAAATGATACGACCTAATATCTGCAGTTTTTCATTCAACAAAACACACACATTAAATACTTAGACATTTAAGCTTTAAACTAAAATGTTTTTTAAACATATCTACTCAGCCAAAAAAGGCTTTGCAGTACAGTTCAGTCCCAGGATTGAGGCAATGCAGTTTTGTCCCCACCACCTAATCTATGAATTTTAGCTCCTAGCCATGAGTAAAGCACTGACGTTTGGCAGCCATTACTAAAGCCATTATTTATATATTTTTTTATTTTTCAAACTTGTAATAGTCCTTCAAGTGCTTCTTTATACATTAAACCTAGCAATTCAGTTTAGCAAGCTCTAAAACAATCCTTAAAATGTATCAAATAATCCATTCTTTCTTTATATCATAAAGACAATGTGAATGCACTTAAAAAGACCAAAATACAAGGTCACTTTAGTTGCTGCAGTGTCCCATCAGCTTACATTAAAGGTAGAAAAATATCTCAAGCCCCTCCCAAAACAAATATATCTAAATATTAATAAAGAAATAAAAATATGTGACTCCATTAGGGTCATTGTCACTGAACAAGAACCTTTGAAACAATTTAAGATGAGCCTTAAGTATCACTAAACTGCGTCTTTCGTCATTTGTAAATATTACTTATCGATTAACAGTTTTTGAGTTGTGTATGTGTGTTTTTGTTTTCAACATGGTGATGCCTTTGGGTCGGTGGACGGGTGGTCGGGTGGGCGTTGCAGATGTTGTTATGTCAGAGGCAAGGGTGTAGCAAACCGTCCCGTGTGTCCCGTATGATTCAGGTCGTGTTGATGTTTTTATAGTCCGTACCACTGTGATGGCAGCAGACAGCTGCACACGGTGTTTATCAGACGGAGGAAACGTTATGTAAAACACGATATGACCCCGTCGCACTCATGTCTCCTTGTTTACTATCTTCCCACTGTACCAGCGGGATTCCTGGAATCCAATTCGCTGGCTACCGCCCACCCTGCTCTCCCATTGGCTAGGATCGTCTATTAAGTGACAGTTCCCTGTGTGCAGCTGCAGACTCCCATCCTCTTCGAGACTTCTCAACTGAATCAACAACAATTAGACAAACTGTCCATTTTGACGCTATATGATTTGAAATCACATTTTTTACATCGTATTTTCTATGTTGTTCGATAGACTTTGAGGATGACCAGTAAATTGAAGTTTGTTCGGTCTCTGATGAAGACTGCAGCGTTGGCTAACGTACCAAAACACATCGATCATTTCTCCAAGTTCTCTCCTTCTCCTCTCTCAATGAAGCAGTTCTTGGATTTTGGTGAGTAGCTACGTATTAAGCTAAGTATTCATAATTATCATAATAATAATAATAATATAACTTATTATTTTCACTTGTTTTTATATTTCTTTATGCTGGCTCGTCATTCTTATGGTTGGGTTGAATTCAAATTTTTAAAGTATAATAGCCTACATATTCCATAGGGACAGGAAAAAGGTTGACATCACGTGTCCAAAACATGGGTTAGGGGTTAGGGTGATATCTATTCAAAAAATGGTCGAATTGCCTTCAGCATGTAAAGTTGATGCTTCCGACTTGGGGTGCGCCTCACACCACCAGTCTAAATCAACCTTAACACTTGTTCAATCACGGTGGTGATGATTATGATGATGCTGACAACTGTCATGGAGATTTCATTATGCTGATGTGCTAAAAATATCTAATTTTCTGTGACATTTACCAAATACTGTTGTTCAAGTCACACCTGACCCCCTGCTGTTCTTCAGAGGCCTCCTCATGAACTTCTGTTTCCATACTAAAACCTCTGCATGTAGGTTACTTTCCTCTTACAAAAAAACCTCTGTATGACTTCCTGCCTTTCTACAAACTTTGCAAACAGAACAACAAAGACAAATTACTTGACTCAAGATCTTTTGTTCAAACAAACTCTTGTATACAGAAATTTCCATTAGACATCTTTTTGTTTTGATAATGACATTAATGATAGGGGCAAACAATGGTTACCTTGTCTACGCCACTATACCAACATTTTTAGGGGACAAGGATCCTGAAAAAGGGTGCTACTTTTCTTTTCTTTCGACAAGTTATTTTACGTATAGGTAACAGGATAATCAAGATAACCAAATGAACACATTGTGATATTTTGACATTGGGATCTTTTTTTGTAGCCTATACTTTACTGAGAGTTTTTTTTTTGTGGTCACATAAGTCTGACCCTACTATTCCTGTGAACACATCTCAGGATCACCTTTAGTGAATAGCTTCCGATCCGAAACAAACACCCAGTTGAACACACAAACCAGAAATTGTTAGTGTGAGGTCAAAGGTCACTGCAACCTTAAGTCTGTCCCACCCTGGTAAACAATATATGTTTATAAAACCAGTAAGGCACTTTATTACATTTGGCAAAGATGTCCACTTTGACCTAAGTCTAACTGATTAGATCTGATGGTCAAAGGTCAGGGTCAGCTCTCCACAAACAGATTTCACCATAACTTAAGAGATAAATGATTATGACACAAAAATGCCTTAAAGATGAGAAAAACATTACTGATGTGATGTCATTGTTTATCCTTGTGAATGCAACATCTCTTGAATGCCTGAAGAGAATTTTGATCAAATCTGGTCTATTATAACACTCTAATGACACTAATGACATCCGCAATTTGTTAGTGAACAATTTCCCCTAATTCAACCCATCATGTAACTATTGGTTATTATTGACTGCTGTCAGGAGAGGGTCAACTGACATTCACATACTCTGCAGGGAAAAACAAAGAGAGAGACTTTGAGAGTGAGAGAGAGGGATGGATTTTTGCAGTTCTATCTCTCATGTAATATAGATTTTATGTACATTGGCAATATTTGCACCCCAAAAGGTAACAGTTACAGTGTCAATGTCACACAGATTGATCTACACTGAAACTTGCAGAGAAACACAACCAGGTGACATTTGAAGGAGAGGTTCAGAGAAAAGCAGGCGAAGGTTTGACTTTCGTTTGAACACAAACTGTTCAGACCTCATCTCCACTCTATGTAGTTTTTACAGTCCAGTATGTATATTATGATTATTCACTGCTTGTAGTCATTAATAAGTATTGGGTAATTATTCTTAACTTTAGACCATTTTATGTTTTTACTGAATTGTAAATCACTCACTCATCTCACTCCCTGTCTTGCTGATCAAGTATGTGAGACATACACTATGTATGAATGTACCATCAAAAAACCCAGCCAGTGGACCTTATGTTGAGGTTGCCAAGTCAAACTTATTTCATGGCCTTATACATTTTGTCTATTCTGCAGGTTCAACCAACGCCTGTGAGCGCACATCGTTTGTTTTCCTTCGACAGGAGCTCCCTGTGCGATTGTCCAACATCATGAAGGAGATCAACCTCCTTCCAGTCCGGCTGCGGTCCACGCCTTCTGTCCATCTGGTCCAGAGCTGGTGAGATAAACTGCTGAGTGTTCACAGAATGACTATTGATGATTCGGAATGCCTTACATAACATATTGCACTTGAGTTGTTGACATCTAATAAAATAAATGTTCTGCAGAATGTTAACATCTTGGCAGATAAGGCAGTAATACCTGTTTATGCTACTGTCAAGCCATGAGTATTTTCATAAACTTACTTGAAGCACAGCATTAAACTTTCCTGTTTAGTACAGACCACAATCTCAAGACTTGTGAAAGTCTTTTCAAACTCCCCAGAGAGTAGCACCCAATATTTTAGATTT